CGGTGGATGGACCTTGGCCCCGTGGCCAAACCGAAAGACAGCCGGGCAGAAGTCGCCAGGCGCGAATCCTGCGCGCGCAATTGATTACTGCGTTCCGCCGCGCATCGCCGCGGCAGGAAACCCAGGCCACCCCGCAGGAAATAAGCCTATAGTCATGCTGCTTTGCGAAGCCAGTCAAATTGCAACCGGCGCCGGCGACAGTGAACCCGCCGTCCAGAAAACCAGCCTTGGAGTCTACCCGCTAAGCTCATCTACCCCAGGCCTCCCAGCTCCGCGTCCGCTGGGGCGTGTCAAGCATTGATGAAGCCTCCTCCCGAATCAGAAGACTTCGAGATTCCCTACGGGGCGGGGGGGCACGCCCGCAACCGGATCACGGCAGCGGCCGCCGATCGTGCCGCTCACGAGGCCGCCGACGTCCTAGACGGAAAGACCGCCAGAGGGAAAGCTCGATATCTGCCAGGTCCAGCTGGCCTGGCCCTCCGATGCCCCGGGGCGACGCGTGGATGGCTAACCCGCAGGGGGCGCCAGCTGATCTCGCGAGGAGGGGTCCTCCCTCGCGCGCCCCGCCCTGGTTTCGCCGCGGAGGGCACGTACATATAATCGCATCAACCTCGACGAGGCCCAGAGGCGACGGCCGATGCGCCAGCGTGCTGCCGGCGCCGCAAAGGGGAATCACATGCCACCGTCGCAGGGCCCGGTGCCAGCGCGGGACGACGCGTCGCCGCCGCCACCAGGCGAAGATGCGGATGCGAAACGTCAGCCGCCTGGTCGCTGACCTCAACCCGCGCAGGCAACCGCTCAAAACTCGCCGCCAGGTGAAGCTTGCTGGAAGCCGCGTCGGCGCGGCGCCCGAGACCGAGGGGCCCGGGGCCCACCTGGAAGCCGCTGCCGATGATCTGTTTGTAGAAACGAACCAGACGCATTGAGCGCCTTCCCCGCGTTGGGCGCCCCCCCGATGGCACTGGGCAAAGGTCCTGATCCGCCCGGCCCCCAGCCGCAAGCGCGCGCGCCGCGTGCGCGGGCGTCCAAGCTGCAGGGGGCAGATCGCGGGACCTCTGCAACAACGCGGCCTTCGCAGCCATCAGACCAAACAGGCGCTCCTGGACCTCGCGGCGGGTGCTCTGCGTTCAGTGGCCATGCGGCTGGGCAAGGCGCCGCCGCTCACAGAGATGCGCTACTGGGCTCCAGAGGCAGGTGCGGAATGGAGCCTGCTCGGCGCAAGAGCCGAATCGCTTCGTCGCAGCGCGCGAGCCTTCCAAAGGGCGGCCCCGTCAGCGAGGCAGTTCGGGGCCATGCGCGATGACTCGGGCCGCGGCCCGCGTGGATCCACGAGCCAGCCGGCCCGTTCACCCCCGCGCTCCGCGCATCGCAGCGGGTAGTTTTTTTTGTTTTTTTTTTTTTTTTTTTTTTTTTTTTTTTTTTTTTTTTTTTTTTTTTTTTTTTTTTTTTTTTTTTATTATTTTTTTTTTTTATTTTTTTTCCTTCGGCGCGCCCCCCCGCGGCCGGGCGCCATCCGGGAGCCGTCGCCGCTGTCGAGCAGGGCCTTGGTTATTTTGCCAAGACTTGGCTCCCCAGGACCCAAGGCAAAGCTATGCGCGCACAGTGGCAAACCGGGCCCTGGCGCAGCTCGCCCTGCGGAGATGGCCGCGCCCAACGGAGGAGAATCAATGCCAGTATCTCGGCTGACTCGCCCCCCCTGCGCAAGCGGCGTGGTCGAGAAGAGGCGGCCCGAACCCATGGCGGCACCGTCTGGAGATGCCGCTGCGGGGCTTGCCAGAAGGAGGCCCTCGAGATCATGATCGCCGAAGAGCAGTGGCACGATTTCCAACCTTGCGCCGGGCCCCGTGGCCGGCGGCCACCTGGAGGAGGGCCCCGCCCTGCGACCTCCAGGCCACCCTGGCGGAGGACGAGCTCCCGCGGCCCATCCCCAGACAGCGCCAGGGGAACGCCGGTGACGACGACCACCGAGACTGCGCCGACACATTTCGCGCCGCATGGGCCTGCGCCGCCACCGACGGGGCATGCTCTGATCAAACCCGCCCCTTCCCGGCCTGGCCGGGCTTCGGGGCGCGCTGCGGGCTGGGCCGCAGGCTCGACCACTCCACGCTGGCGCGCGGCCTCGCGCAGTCTGTGCAATGCGCCGAAACTTTCGCCGCGTTGCACCTCGTGGCCACTGCTGAACGGCCCGCGCGCGTCTTCGAGCGCGACCCAGCTGCGGCGTGCGGGTTCGAAGACCTCATCCAGGGTTAACCGCCTCAGCCCGTCGGACCGCAATTTGAAATCCGGCGTGACATGCATCGGGTGCTTCAAGCCAAACCTTATCAATTTTCGTTGAGAATCCGCCGGCCCCTTTGTGGGGCCACCCGGCTGTAAGCCTAAGCATCGCAGCTTCCTGTGTCAATTGCAGCTTCCAGTTTCCACTGTTACAATTATGCTTCTTGCTGCTTGCTGTTCCTTGTTACAGTTCTGCTTCTTGCTGCTCGCTGTTCCTCGTTGATGGACCGCGCGAGGGGGGGGGGGGGGGGGGGGGGGGGGGGGCAAAACGGGCACTTTTACCGCGCACTGGGAAGGTTCTCAGAAGGTTCTCAGAAGGTTCTCAGAATTTCTGGGAGGGTAGAAATTGGCACCCCTCACGCAGATCCGCAGGGTCAGGGTTCAGAAGCACAAGGGAATGTTTGTAATTCGGTGGCCCCCCATCACGCAGATCCGCGGGGTCAGAGTCCAAAAACAAAAAGGATTTGCCATATTCTTGAAATTTGCTGGCACCCTTCACGGAGATCGGCAGGGTCAGGGTCTAAAAACAAAAAAGGATTTGCCACATTTCTGACATTCGGTGACACACCTCACGCAGATCGGCGGGGTCAGGGTGCAAAAACACAAGGGATTTGTCACTTCTGAAATTCGGTGGCACCCCTCGCGCAGATCGGCGGGGTCAGGGTCCAAAAACACACGGGATTTGTCACTTCTGAAATTCGGTGGCACCCCTCGCGCAGATCGGCGGGGTCAGGGTGCAAAAACAGAAAGGATTTGCCACATTTCTGAAATTCGGTGGCACCGCTCGCGCAGATCGGCGGGGTCAGGGTCACAAAAAAACGCACGGGATTTGCCGCATTTCTGACATTCGGCGGCACCCCTCGCGCAGATCGGCAGGGTCACGGTTGAAAAACACAGAAGACTTGCCACATTTCTGAAATTCGGCGGCACCCCTCACGCAGATCCGTAGGGCCAGGGTCCAAAAACATAAGGGATTTACGCAATTTTTTAAATCCGGTGGCACCCGTGACGCAGATCCGTAGGGTAAGGGTCGAAAAATAAACAGGCCCCGACACTGCTTCACGGCGGCGCCCAGACCCCATGATTTAGCTTTTGCACCTCCCATTATCCGAGACAGGGGGACGGCGGCATGGGGCGAAGCCCTGACGGATATCGAATGCCACCTCGGTGAGCTGGAGATAAACGGCGGCCGCATCACGCCAATCGCGGAAGACTTCAACCGACATGTCACGAACTCGTCACTGCGGGGGCAAAATTGCGTAGCATCCCACAGGGTCGCCGCGGTCTTGCAAACTACGGCCGCCAGCGTCTACGATCAACGGCACCGCGCGCTCACTCTTCCCCACGGAAGTGCGGGATATCCTAGGTCCTGGGACGAAGCTCCCCAGAATGGAAATTCATCAGCTCGCCAGCCATTGAGGACAATGCGCTAGCGCAGAAGAAGGACCACCTCCCGCGCGGAACCACCAAGTCCCGATTGCTTCGATGATCTCGACGACTCTGGGCTCAAGCACGCGGGCGATCTCGCCGCTGACGACCTTGACCCCCTTGGTCTGGGGCCTCCGTCAACGGCGAAGACGATTGCGTCCGCCCACCTCAGAGACGTCACCCTGAACGCGGCCACGCTGCCGAAGGACCCGCCAGCGAAAACTGTACCGCCCCGCCCAACCTGGGAGAGGACCTGCGCATGGCAGGTGAAGGGTCGCGGACTGCGCCCCATGGGACAGCACCGCCGCCCCAACCCGCTGGGTTGGCCAGTACGACTGCACCCCCACCCTCCCAACGAAGTGATTCCTGCCACCACTCGCCCCCCCAGGCCCACCAAGGAACGGGGACCACAGGCCCCAATGCCATATGCCACCCATTGGGGTGCTGGCAACGAAATGACCGCAAAGCGTCGTACTGACCGGAGGAACGCCCTCATCCAGCACGGCACTGCGACGAATCACCAGCGACGAGAAGACCGCGAGACAACTCGCACAGCCAACATTCAAACACTGAATCAGCGCGCCAAACACCTGGTGACTTCCCTTCATCAGGTACAGGAGCAGACAATACTGCTGATTGACTGGTTCAGGTATGCACAAGAAGAGCCCGGGGGGCTGACACAACGGGCTTCCCGCCCTGATGCGACCAATGGGACCAGCCTCCAGGGTTACCTCCAGGCATCTTCGACTCACAAAAAGGCGGCACACCAGTGTTGGCCTCCTTCCACGCGGGCCGTGAAAACAGTTGGCGCCTCTTCCGTTGTCAGCATCTTCTTGGCCGCTGCGGGGGACGCCCCAAGGCGGCGCCTCTGTTCGCACGGCGTCGAGGCGCGCAAGCCAACCCACGCTGAAAGCCGGCGTTTCCCTGCCTCCGTGGGGTCTGATCGCCGCCGGCCGTCCTGTTCTCCACCTGGGGAGCCACTTGTCCGCGCCAGGGGTAAGGCCATCCCACCGCCCCTGTTTAGCATGCGGCACCTCCCGCATCGGGAAGCGGGCCCACTGAACACGTGTGGCTCAGGGACTGGGGCGACGTTGCCGTCCGATCTGGTATGCTCTCCCTACCACTCTTCCTCCATCCGTCCCTCTCTTCCCCTCCCTCAGCCTCGTCCCCCCTCCTTCTCTCGATCCTTTCCTCCTCCTCTTCCTCCTCCTGTGGCTCCTTCTGCTGCTCCTGCTCCTGCTCCTCCTCCTGCTCCTCCTCCTTTTCCTCCTCCTCCTCCTCCTCTTTCCTGGCGGTGCCTGTAGTGCGTCGAACCCGTTTCTTCGGTAGAAGTCGTGGCAGCAGTAACCGCAGCAACAGTAGTTGTAAAAGCCCTCCCTGATCTTGTGCCGCCGGGTCCAGCTGAGCGCGAGGAGGGAGGAGAGGGGAGGAGGATGGATGGAAGAGGAGAGAGGAGGATGGAGGAGGAACATGAAGAGGAGAAGGGAGAGGAGAAGAGAAAGGGTGGACGGAGGAGAAGGAGGAGGAGGGAGGAGGAGAAGGGATGAGGAAGGAGGGGGATGGAGCATGAAGAGGGTATCCAAGAGGGAGGCGTCAGGAGAAGGAACGGGAAGAGGAGAGAAGGAGAAAAAAGAGGAGGCGGGCAGGGTGAGAGGCATGAGCGACGAGTGACAAGTAGTAAGAGGGGGGAGGAGGAAGGAAGGAACGGGGGAAAGAACGGGACGTATGACAAGGAAGGAAGGGGAAGGAAGGAGGAAGGAAGAGGCAGGAAGGAGGAAGGAAGGAGGAAGGGACGAAGGAAGGGAAGGAAGGGGGAAGGAACGGGGGAAAGAACGGGATAACTTCGACTCGTTTAAAATAATGTTTGGCGCCCGCTTCACTACCCCAACATCTGCGCGAGTCACACCCGCTGTGCGACGTGCGCGTAGTGAATGCGCGAACGCACTGGCGGCAGCTGTAATGCCTCTCGAGGCGAGGAGGATCACGGGCGCGTCGGCACTGCAAGGTGATCGTGCGTCACGGATCATAACAATAACATGGGAAGACGGGTCCTGAAGAAAACGGGTCCTGGACCCGGGGACCTTCTCCCACGACGAGGTCTTCATCCAGAGTCGCTCTCTGACAAACCCGAGGCCCGTGGAAGGCCCCGAGAGCCCGAAAACGACGGAAAACCTCAGGACCCGTGTCCCTCACGACCCGTTGCTCACTCGGGCGAGTAGCTGCATCATGCGCACCCAGACCGATGGATCCAGGAAGCCATCGAGACCGCGCTCCTCAACAGACACGGTGGCCAGCGTCAAACGCGCCGCCGCTTCCATCTCCCAGAGAGCCCTCGAAAATGGCGCGGCAGCAAAACAAGATGCCCACGGTCCTGCCGAAACCTCCGAAGCCCTCCGAAGGGGCCCAGGGACACACACATAGAAAGACACGAATCTCAGGATTCCCATATGTGCCATACGTCCTGGAGGTTTGTTCCCCCCTCCCTTTCACATGTTTCCGACGTGTAAGTTGGAATCGAGGATTCGTTGTGGCTGTATTTCTGTGCCTTCCTGAGCCTCCCGAGTAAGCCTCCCAAAATCGCCAAAAGCCTCCCAGACCCTCTAGAAGGCCACCCAGCTCAGAAGGCGCCCGCGTCGTGCGGATTCGAGGTGGGAGAGCAACCTCTCCTGAGACGCCCTCCACGCCTTCTCAACGCAATGCTGCCCTGTTCGCCTCTAGATAGGGGCAGCGATGAAGGGGGACCTGGAATCGGCGATACATCGCCGATAGATCGGCGATAGGCCCACGATCGCGGGTCCGCACGTTCCTGGGCGGGGTTCGGCTATCAGAGCCCTAGTGGCGATCAGTGGGCGATTGGGGGTCGATGCGTCCATCCCTATGCCTACCCCCCCCCCATCGTTGCCCCTGACTCGAGCACCACCGAGACCAACGCGAGACACCGTCGGGAGCACAACCGCCTCCCTCCGTCCGAGAAGAAGGAAGCGCGCAGGAGCAGGCGGAGCCTGTGCTGCCCCAGCCCAGCCTAAGCTCCATCAGCGTTCGTACGCAATTTCTTGCTCTCTTTTCGTCCTCCGCCTCCTCTTCCTCCTCCTCCTCCTCTTCTTTTTCTTCTTCTTCTTCTTCTTCCCCCTCCTGCTGCTCCTCCTCCTCGTCCTCCTCCTCGTCGTCCTCCTCCTCCTTATAACAAATTCTCCCTGTCGCACCCCAAGGCCAATTTTTAGGGCGGGCCGGGCGTTTCGCCTGAGACTTCCTCACCGCTTATGACTGTGAACTTAAAAAGTGACCACAGCTTCACACATGGAGGGCGGGTGGTTTTCAACATGTGGTTCTCGCATTAACGCCGCGCACATTCGTTACCAAAAATTGCAATTCACGGATTGAGAGCGGGTCGTTTTCAAAATGTGGCTCTCGCCTTAACGCCGCGCACATTCGTTTAAACACATTGCAATCGTTTCACGGATTGAGGGCGGTTCCTTTTCAACATGTGGCTCTTGCCTGGGCGCCGCGCGCATTCGTTTCAAACATTTGCAAGAGTTTCGCGGATTGAGGGCGGGCCGTTTTCCAAAATGTGGCTCTCGCCTTAGCGCCGCGCACATTCGTTTAACAAATTGCAAGAACTTCACGGAATGAGGGCGTGCCGTTTTCAACATGTGGCTCTCGCCCTAGCGTCGCGCACATTCGTTTAACATGTTGCAAAAGCTTCACGGGTTGAGGGCGGCTCTTTTTCAAAATGTGGCTCTCGCCTTAGCGCCGCGCATATTCGTTTGACAAGTCTCAAAGTTTTCATGGGTTGAGGGCGGTTCCTTTTCAAAATGTGGCTCTCGCCTTAGCGCCGCGCACATTCGTTTTCAAACATTTGCAAAAAAGTTCCACGGGTTCCCATGATCAACGTACCAGAAATGGTGTTTTGGAAGGATTCAGGATTATGCGGGCGCAACAGTGAAGTTGATTCGGTGTGCTGAAATCCCAAAAATGGCGTTCTGTCACGATTCTCGATCGTCAAGACGCAGCAGTCAGGTTGAGACGTGGCGTTCAAATCCAGAGAAAAATGTTGTGGCACGCTTCAAGATCTTCAAACTGTTGTCTTCCAACGAGGCAACTCCCTCACTGGATGAACCGTTGTAGGGGCCTATGAAGAGGGAGCTTGGAGGGAGGGTTAATTCCAACATCGTTGATGACTCTTGGGTTTCCACTGGTCCTCTTCCTCCTCCTCTTCCTCCTCCTCCTCCTCCTCCTCCTCCTCCTCCTCCCCTTTTTGACCTGCTTAGCAGGCGCGTTGTCTGCGAGTGCTCGGACTCAAACTTTTTCCGCCTACGCGCCGGACGTCGTATGGCTTCGTGTGTGTGTCCCACTGCGATGCATCCGCACTGCCGACGGTCCTCCCGCGCAGGGAGGCCACCCGCGCGTGTTTGCCGCGACTCCAGATCAGCCTTCCACACAAAACAGCCCAGCGCTGGCGCACCTGCCTGCCAAGAAAGAGGAGGGGTCCCGGGTGGACACCAGTCTTACGGGCTGGTGGGAATACGCGAAGCGTCAAGAATTCAAGATATCTGGATCCCCTTCTACAATGTGATACACTGATGTACGTGTGCGTACATGCATGGGGGTAGGGAGTTACGTGGGGACAACGAGAAAGCTATCAAACGCAAATATGACACACAAGGGTAATCTATAGACAAACAACTTACACAACCAATCCAAACTCGATGCGATAATACGGCTTCGGTACCCTTTGTGCAGGACGGCAGCGACCACCTGGAAACTTGACGCACTGCACCGAGGTATGAGCACACGTGAAAGAAGCGTTTAGTCCAATATTGCTTACTTCAATACTGCGCAAGCGTCGCTGAATCTCCCATGGGTGGGAGGCGGTCCTGCTCTTGTGGCCTCTGGCGTCTGGCTGCTTGTGAAACTTTCTCCTGGAGAAGTGCATTACCAAAACAATGCATGGATGACCATGCCAACACGCCACCCACGACACAAAATACTTCGACCCCTCTCTGTGAGCCCATTCGAACAGCACGCGTGGTGCCTCAGCCAGAACTCTGACAACATGGTCCTTTCGGATCGCCAGCCCTACCCTTCCCAGAGTTCCACAGGCAACCTGTCTCCCCGGGCCCAGGAACGGCCTCGGGAGGCCCACGGTTGTGAAAGAATACACCGGCGGTCCAGGAACGCGCGTCTGATCGTGCCGTATAGCGCACTCCGACACAATTCAGCGAAGATCGCTCACGATGCCCAGTTCCAGCCGATCGGCACGAGGCGTCCTCCGTGCGGCGCTTGCCTGCTCCTCCTCCTGCTCCTCCTCCTCGCTCTCCTGCTCCAGCCATCGGCCCAGACGCCCAGGTCCCCACCCTGTCGACAGCGGCTCTACCGACCGATGACCTCTGTCGACCCTCGGCCGGCATCATCGAAGCCTCCCTCCTCCACCCTCCACGTCGCCTCCTCGTCCCCTCCTTTCTCCTCCACCTCCTCGGCTTCCCCCCGCCTTGTGCACATCCTGCCTCCCCTTCCCCCCTCCTCCGAGGGCACCCTTTTCGCCCCTGTGCTTTCTTCCCTGGGTTCTCTTTCAGGCGTTGGTCTGCCTCTGCGCTGGCCGGCTGGCGGGCTTTGCGCACTCTTCCGATAAGACCCAACCCCTCCCGCTGCTCAGCCGTCCTGCCCTGCTCTTCCCCCCTCCTCTCCTCCCCGCCCTCCTGCTCCTCTCATCGGTCCCGCTGGGCCCCTCGCCCTGTTCCACCTCCTGGCTCCTTCCTCCCCTCATCCCTCCTCTTTCCTTCTCCCCCCTTCTCCTCCTCCTCGTCGTCGTCGTCCTCCTCCTCCTCATCCTCCTCCGCCTCTCCTCCTCGTCCTTTTCCTCCCGTCCCCTACCCCCAACGTTCTGGTGACCTCCTGAAGCTCCAGCGGCCCCCTGAGAGCCCCATACCTCCCTGAGAGCGCCTCCGAACGAATGACACCCTTGTAGCCGAAGTCCCCAAACGGCTTCACACAGTTCACGAGGTGGGGCCACGATCGGGGGCCAACGATGGGGGGCCACGACGAGCCACCGATTTCGGAGGCCCGGGCGGCTACGTGCGGGGCCGCGATGGTCCAGCGATTTCGGGAGCCCGGGCTATGGGGGACCACGATGGACCACCGACCTCGGAGGCCCGGCCCCCCCCCCCCCCACCGAGCGTTATAAGTAATATATGTGTGTATAAATGTAAATGTATATATGTATATATGTATATATATATATATATATATTGGCTTGTGTATATGTATATGTAAATGTATATGCATATGCATATGTATACGTACATATATATGTATATGTTCATGTATATGTACATGAAATCGTGTATATGTATGTTCGTATGTGTATATATATGTATAGAGAGAGATGTGCTCGCCCCCTATCATCATACAACTCGCCTCCTTTCTTATCCTCTTCCTCCTCATCCTCCGCCTCATCATTCCCCCCCTCCTCGTCGTCGTGGTCTTCCTCCTCCTCCTTCCCCTCCTCCTCATCCCTCCTCCGCCTCCTCCTCTCTCCTTCTCCTCCCTCCTCTTCTCCCCCTCTTCCTTCCCCTCTTCTTCTACTCTTGTCCTCCACCCTTTGCCGAGGGCGACCCCAGACGAGCATATTACATTTTGTGGTTTTATTTTGAATGCTGCGGGGCGCTCGAAGATTGAAGGTTGAAGGCTTCATCATTTTCCTCCTCAACCCCTCCTCCTCCCCATCCTTATTGTCTTCATCCTCCTTTTTGTTTCGTCCTCCTCCTCCTACTTCTCCTCCTTCTCCCTCCTTATTCCTCCCCCTCCTCCTTCCCCTCTTTTCCTCCTCATCTTCTCCTATTGTCCTCTCTCCTCTCGCGATGAGCATATACTATGTTATTTTTGTACGTTTAATCCTGCGGGGCGTTCGAAGCTAGAAGGTTGACAGTTTCCTTCGAAAAAAGACAGCGAGAGGCAACATAGCATGTCCGTAGGCACACTGGCTCAACCATCCCTCCTCCGATATCGTTGCCAACCAAGCCCTTCTCCGCAAGATGATGCCGATCACGGGCGGCATGGCGCAGATCGGCCATGGGGGGGCTGCTCGGTTTAAGCTACATGTCGCTTCTGCTCAGCCTCAGGAGCGTCCCCCCTCCCCCTCCCCCACGTACCAAGAGATCATAGACCGCATCTCAGCACCAGGAGCGCCCCCTCCCCACCAAGAAACATTGAGGTTCACACGTCCCGGCTGCCATTTCAGCAAGCAGGAATTGCAAGCGTGCGTGGCCAGCATGCAGCGGACCCTCTTGGGGAAACTTGTGAGGCGCAATAACACTTGTGATGGCTGGCGCTCTAGAGTGCGACGCATATACAGCGTCTGCATTTGCGGCAGGAGGCCGCTGAAATGGGTGCCGCTCCGCAACGGAGAGGGGGTAGCATGCGGCAAATGCGACCCCGTTAAAGCTACCTGACCTGCGAGCGCACGACGTCTCTGTATGAGCAAGAAAGGGGGCACGCGGCAAATATGGGTATTGAAAGACGCTGTGTTTCCAGATGTTCTCGCTGTTGCCAGAACATGCAATTTGAACAACTATTTGTTTTCCTGCTGTTCCAGCTTTTCTCACAGACTGACCGTTGAAAAGCGATGTGTGGTCTAGCTTTTCCAGCTTCTTCCAGAAACTATCCTTGCACAAACGCTGTGCTTTCCAGCTTTTCCAACCTTTCCTGGCCTTTGAAAAGCACTGTTGTTTCCCAGCTTCTTCAGCCTTCCAGCTTGCCTCAGAAATCCCACTAGCCCTTTGGGCGACAGGTGGTCTAACGAGATTCCTCTGCCCTCTTCCAAAAAAACCCTCTTCCCCTACGGGGAAGGGTTAATCACTGTTCCCTATTAGTATACACCCCCTCCCCCAGGCGACTGGGAGCCAACCCGAGACAATGAGGGCCCTCCCCCCCACCATCCCTGGTAAAACAACGGTACAAAACACACTTTGCCTCCAAATTCGGAGCATGCGCAGCGAACCTGATGCGGCCTCCCCCCACCATTCTTGACAAAAAAATATTCGCTGCGTGGAGCTCCCCATATGTGCATCTATTCGCATGGACCTGTCCGCCGTGAATGTCTAGGCGCAATAGCTTTCGAACATAAACGGGCTTCAGTTGTGACGGTCTGGTCATGAATCTAACTGAGAATGAATTGAAGTGTGAATGAGCCTCAGTAGTACGAGCGCGTCTCTGCGCATGAGCCTGGGTCCTCCTGGGGCCTCCTGGTGCCTCCTGAAACCTACTGGGGCTTCCTGGGGCCTCCAGGAGCCTCTTGGGGCCTCCTGGGGCCTCCTGGGACCTTTCCACGCGGGCGTGCCCTCTGGGGCCACAAATGGAGCTCCCCGTGGGGCCCGATCCGTGTGAGAGGTGTGCCGTAAAGGGTGGGAGCCCGCATGCGGGCGCGCCCACTGGGTCCTAGGTGGAATTCCCCCGGCGGGGGCTTTTTGCAAGCGCGCCCACTGGGGCCAAAAGGGAGCTCCCCGTGAGGCGTGATCCGCGTGGGAAGGGTATGCCGAATTGGGCGGGGGTCCCTGTGCGGGCGCGCCCGCTGGGGCCACAAATGGAGCTCCCCGTGGGGAACGATCCGTGTGAAGTGTGCGCCGAAATGGGCGGGAGCTGGCATGCGGGCGCGCCCGCTGGGGCCACCCCGTGGGGCGCGATGCGAGCGAGGGGTGTCCCGAAGTGGGCGGGAAATGGCAGGCGGGCGCGCCCGCCGGGGCCACAAACGGAACTTCACGTGGGGCACGATGCGTGAGCACTGGTGCCGTAGGTGGAGCTCCCCGTGGGGCACGATTCGCGCGGTGGGTGTGCCGAAATGGGTGGGGGCCCGCATGCGGGCATGCCAACTGGGGTCCTAGGTGGAGTTCCCTCTGTGGCATGATCCGCGTGATGGGGTGTGCCGAAATGGGCGGGGACCCGCATGCGGGCGCGCCCACCGGGGCCATGACCTGGAACTCCCTTTGGGGCACGATCCGTGTGAGGGGGATCCCGAGCTGGGCGGGGGCCCTCATGCGGGCACGCCCGTCGAGGTCATAAGTGGAACTCTCTTTTGAGCACGATCCGGTTGAGGGGTGTGCCGAAATGGGTGGGTGCCCGCATGCGTGCGTGCCCTGTGGGACTATACGCAAAGCTGAAATCTGCCCCGCACCTTCACCTAGTCTTTCAGTCTCCGCTAAGAACTTTTCTTTTGGAGAAGTTCTGCTGGGAACCCTTCGGTGCGAGCCCTGGTTGGGGGAACGCGTGCATGGAAGGAGGGCGGCGACTTCTCACGCTGATTGCATGCTTCCCCAAACAACGAATGCGACAAGGGTGCCGCGTGCACATTTGTGTCAAGAGAGCCCGCTACTGAAATCCAACATGCACAACCTGTGCCGCCCGAGAACCGGGCCGTGCCATGCCGTGCCCTGCTGTGCCCGCGTGCCGTGCGCGTGCCATGCCAGACCCGCGTGCTGTGCCGTGCGCGTGCCGAGCCTGAATTTCCGAATGGGAGAAATATGCAATGCCGTGTGCGTGCCATGCGAAAACCGCGTGCCGTGCCGTGCGATTTTTTCGCCTGCGTTCTAGGAAGCGAGCAATGTGCCGTGCGCTGCCGTGGCCATGTGCAACGTCGTCAACATGACGTGCCCAGGTGCCGTACCGTGCGCGTACTGAACCTGGGTTCTAGCATGCGCGAGAAACGTGCCGTGCCGTGCTGTGCCCGCATGCCATGCCGTGCCTGCATGCCGAACGTGGTGTCTCGAATGCAAGCAATGACCGTGCCGTGCGGACCGTGCCCTGCCCGCATGCCGTGCGGTGCGAATACTGTGTCGTGCGCCATGCCGTGCCGTGCCCTGCCCGCATGCAACGCCGTGCCCGCGTGTCGTGCGCGTGCTACGCCTGAAGTCTACAGCGCGAAAGATGTGCCGTGCCTGCGTGCCGTGCGTGCGCGCATCGTGCCTTAGCTCTCAAAGAACGCAAACAGAACTGCCATGCCGTGCCACCATCCAATTTCGTGCTCGTGTGCGTGCCCGCCTGCCGTGCTGTGCGCGCGCCTGGGTTTCAGGCCGCGCAAACTGTGCAATGCCATCCGTGCCCGCGTGCCGTGCTTAGTTTTCAGACACCGTGTCTTCTCATGCAACGTTGCTTCTTAGCGCATCTAAGCATGCTTTCCAACAAGCATCGGGCTCTCACGGGATCATGGAGCCCCCACCTTTCCAGCGAACGCTCGCCGTAATGGAAGCATCTAGTTGTTGACTCATGCGGGGGAATGTGGGATGGTGAAGCGTATTGTGGCATCATCGGCTCGCGCTCAATTTACTCTAGTCCTCCTCCTCCTCCTCCTCCTCCTCCTCCTCGTCAAATCATGATAAATCATTCGCCAGATCCGTCCGGGGGTCAATCCGTGCGAACTGGACATCACGGACGTGGAAATCCCAAGGTCTCTAACAAGCCCAACCAGACACAACAACACTGGCATGATAATATTCCCCCTTCCTCTACCTCATTTCAAAAGAAATGCCGTGGCCTGAACCAGGCCCACGCCACGCAGAGGCCGATAATCAGCACCACGAGGAACGCCGACGCAATTCGGCTCACAATGTCTAGAAGTGTCTCCGTATCGTTTCCGACCTGACACGGCGAGAAGGATTGCAAACGGGATGTTTTGGGACGCGGGCCCCGAAGAGTGATTCCGCGCTTGCAATCTATGCGGGGGAATCTAGGTGGTGTAATCAACGTGGTGCAATCTAAGTGGTCAAATTCACTTTGACTGTCTTGAAGCTGTCCTCTCCACTGCTCGTGCAAACATCCCACCCTCCCACCCGCAACTTGGTCGCAAGACCTCTTAAGACCGTGACGGTAGGTACCAACTGGCACTTGGCGACGACACCGACGCCGACGACTAGATCGACAACGACGACGACGACGCCGACGACGACTACGACAACACCGACGACGACTCCGGCAACTTCGACGACGACGACGGCGACGCCGACGACGACAACGACGAGGGAGGAGGGAAGACGACGACGACCACGACGACGACGGCGACGAAATAGGAGGGACGACGACGAGACGCCGACGACTGACGACGACGACGACGAGGGATGAGGAAGGACGACAACAACGACGGAAACGACGACGACGCCAAAGAGACCGACGACGACGACGACGAAGAAAGACAGAGGACGACGACGGCAGCGACGACGACGACGACGACGAGGGAGGAGGGAGGACGGCGACGACGACGACGACGCAAGAGCGCGTGCGGACGCTTTTGTTGAAAATCCGTTTTGCGGAACCATGTGTTTTTGTATGTTTTGGACACTTGATTTTAACATCCTTCCGAAACCGAAGGTTTTTGAATGATTTCGGCATGCGCGCGCGCGGCGACGCGCGCGCGTGCATTTCGTCATATTTTTTGTCAGAGGATTCTCGCGACGGCACGCGCGCAAGTGCGTTCGAACGAGTTCGACATGCGCGCGCGAAGCCCGAAAATGTTGGAAAACCTATGATTCTCTCACGAATTTGCAAGAGCGCGCGCAAGCTTTTTTTCAAAGTCCGTGTTGCGAAACCATGTGTTTTTGAATGCTGTTCTTGAGCATTCGACTTTGGAATCCTTCCGGGTCCGACAATCTTTTTTATTCAGAAAAATTGGCATGCGCGCGCGACGACGCGCTCGTGCACTTCGTCACATTTATTGCAAGGAACATTGATGATTTGTGAAAAACGAGTGCGCGCGCGTAGCATTTTTTGAAAAAAATGCCGGGAGGGTCCATACCGGCCCCCTGGGATAATGTATATTCGTATACAGAATGGACAATGGGGCTGAATCGTATGTAAATTGCAACACGAAAAAAGGGAATCGTTAACCCCGGGGCGGGGGAGGGTAGTAGAACCTATTTCCTTTTTAAAAAAGAGAACTGACTACCCTGCGTGGCGCTTGAACACCTCCACTGCTCGCGCAAGCATCCCACCCACCCACCCGCAGCTTCGTTTGCAAAACCCACGCGGCGGCGATTGCGATGAGTGCTTGGCGTTGGCTGGTGCATCTCTGCGGCCGCGTCAGCCCGCCCATGCGCGCGCGCAGCAGCCAGCTAGCTTGGCGCGACCGGCGCGGCCGCGATGGCGCTGACCGCTGGGCACACCCCAGCGGGCACTTCAGTGCGAGTCGGCGACTTGGGCGGGCGCGGTATTATGGCAACGTCGACAACGGTAGACACGATTATAATAGTAACGATGCTGTTGGCGATGCTGACCGCGGCAACCCAAGCACGCGCGCGCAGCGGCCAGCTAGCTTGGCGCGACCGGCGCGGCCGCGATGGCGCTGACCGCTGGGCACATCCCAGCGGGCACTTCAGTGCGAGTCGGCGACTTGGGCGGGTGCGGTATCATGACAACGTCGACAACGGTGGACACGATGATGATCGTACCGATGCTGGTGACGATGTTGGCAACGACGACGGCAAGGCCATCGACGGCGCCGATGCTGATCACGCCGACGACGATGACGGCGCCCCTTCGTCGGCGATGAAGGTTTTGGAAGGAGTTCCAGGAGTTCCACATGCGCGCGCGGCCGACGCGTGAGAGTGGCCCGCGTGTATTATTTGGCACAGATCGTGCCCCCCCTAGCACGCGCGCAAGGGCGTTCGAATGACTTCGACGTCCAGCGCGAGGGGCCAGTTTGGTCGAATGGAATGAGAATGTTGAACAACATATGGTTTTCTTGAGAGTTCACAGGAGCACGAGCGCAGGCATTTTTGAACACAGATGTTGCAAAACCATTGTCTTATGGTTTCGGGACACTCGAGTTTGAAATCCTTACGACACCTAAGGTGTTTGAAGAATTTCTGCATGCGCGCGCGTCGGCGCGCGCACGTGCACTTCGTTCAGTTTTTTTGCAAGGGGTTCTTGCGACATCGCGCGTGCAAGGGCGCTCGAGCGATTTCGGCGTGCGCGCGCGAGAGGCCCCTTTGGTAGTAAGTTATGAAATGTTGAGAAAGCCAATGGTTTTCGTACATATTCACAAGAGCCCGAGCGCAAGTTTGTTTTGAACGTTCTTGTTGCGACACCATGTGTTAGATGCATCTGTATATATATATATATGTATCAGGGCACTCCATTTTAAAATCCTCACGCAACAAATTGTTGTGGAAGGGATTCAGCATTCGCGCGCGACGACTCGCGCGCGTGCGCTTATTCTTATTGTTTGCACTGGGTTTTTGAAACCTGATGATTTGTGATAAACGAGTGTGCGCGCATAGCATTTTTTGCCGAGGCTGAGGGGGGGGCGTTACCAATTCGGCTGAATTGATAAGAATTCATGTTTCGGACGGACGGCGGGGCAGAATCGTTTGTATATTGCTATACGAAAACGTGGCGCGTCAAGTCCGCGGAGGGGGTACATGCCACTACATTTTTTTGAATGAGAACTCATGTGGTCCAATCGGTTCGGCGCAAAGAAATAGAACGCAATGCAGAACAGGATGCACCGCAACGCATGGCAAAGCAATGCAGCACAGTGGACAACGAACTGCAAATCACTGCAATGAGATGCAAGGCAATGCAATGCAACGCAAGGAAATTCACAGCAAAGCAATGCGAAACAGCACAAAGCAATGCAATCCTAACCAATGTAATGTGATGTACAGCAATGCCAAGCAATGCGCAACAATTGCAAACCACTGTAACGCAATACACAACAATGCAAAACAATGCAACGCAATGTAGTGCGATGCGAAGCATTGCAAACCAATGCAAAGCAATGTAGCACAATGCAAAGCAATGCGCAGCAATGCAAAGACGTAACGCCGAGCAACGCAGCGGAACGCCACGCGTAGCAAAGCAATGCTGCGCGATGGAAAACAATGCACGTCAAAACGAAACCACGCAGCACGGTGCAAACCCTGCGTTGCAAACGGAGGGTTGGGGGGGGGGTGCAGCGGGCGGGGCGGGTTGCCACGGGGGGGGGCGGCGACGGAGAGGAACGGGGCCGCCGGGCCCGCACACGGGCGTTTTTGTTGACAGATGGGGCGGCGACGGACGGGAGCCCGGCCGCTGGGCCCGCGGGCGAGCCCAGTTCCTCAGGAGGGAAGTGCGAGACCCTGTGTGCAAGCACTGTGAGGGGAATCGTGCACATTGAGTGAGGGATGGGGAAGAGGAGGGTGAGGAGAAGGATGGAGATGATTATGGGGCAGAAGGACAAGGAAAGAGAGAGAGAGAGAGAAAGACAGAGAGCAAAAGGAGGCAGAAGAGCGTCGCGATGATGCTCCCAGGAGGCTACCAGCAATCCCCACAACGACTGGACTGTACGTGGTCCCGACGTGCATCCCGCTAAATGAATCATAGAACAGCTTATGGCTCCATACCTACAAGCAGGTCCAATCATCATCGAATTGGGAACTCGGATCGACTCGGAGTGTGCGTCGGATCTTGCCGTATCGGCAGGGAACCGAAATCTACTCGTATCGGCCGCGCCAGATTGTACAAGGTCGCCATGCAAGCATCACGCGGCATCGGATCACCGGAACCGACTCGGATCGTGATTGGCCCTGACCGACAACGTCCGAAGGCATCCCTAGTTGGCCTGGTTAAGCCCCCGATGCAGTCCTGGGCGGTCTCAGCATGTCCGCGCCGCCTCTGGCAGAACCCCCCATACAGGACTCGGAGCGCCCCAGGGTTGGGGTGTTGAGACGTGCAGGCGTCGCCCTAGGAGTGGCGTCTGAAGCCACTCCACGAAACGAAACGAGCAAATTTCGGCTGTCAATCGGCTCTGCAATGCGCTGTGGGTGCGTCCGTTGCGTAAGACACACGCAAACATGAACTCTGCGACCATGATGCTCCACGTGCTCGGGATCCCGAACTGTGTTGACAAGCGTCCCGAACCGTGCGATCATGCACGACGCGACCAGGAAGCTTTCAAAGCGAGACTGTCACTACATACCCAGGGGCGGGCGCGGTCGGAGCATGCAACGGCGCAAGATCATAGACATCGAACTGAGAACCTTGTGCCAACAAGGGCGGATGTCTCGGTGTGCCCTGCCCTCCACCGCCACCTGCAACCGCTGCGCTCGGGACATCCGCGCTAACGCCCACTTCCGTAATCGCACCTCCGCCGGCTCCCGGCATCACCTCCACCCACTTCCGCTGGCGGGGCATCTGGAGCACAGGCGAAGTCCTCCCAACATGAACCTCGGGGGAGGAACGAATTGCCTCCCCAGCTGGGTATGGGTCTTCTGTTGGAACCCCAGGGGGATTTCTCCAGAACACGGCCGAACCCCTTCCGAGACAAAGAGCGCCATTGACACAAAGATGTTGGCTGTATCGCGGCCGGCGGGTGGATGATGGTGGGGCGATCGTTGACAATCTGCGCCTCCTGTTCACAATGAGAAGCGCGCCTGGGTCTGGTCAACCCCATGATGGGCGACCCTTACCAAACGCCCTCCGCCTTTTTTGTGGCGCCCACTTGGAATACACTCGAAACCTTAACCGGTCTCTACAACGCAAAAGGAAAACACAGAATGGGGGCAAACGCATCCAGGACCGAGGTCGAGTGAAAATCTTGGATGTGCTTTGAGCCTCTGAGCATACTCCAAGGGTCAAACAGCATAGAGAGGCGAGGCAGACCACCTGACCTGCTGGAAATTCGGCACCGGCACATGTTGCCACCAAGGGGTCTCAGTACCAGCCGTGCCATTAGCCATGCCGCTCGCACGGCGCGCGGGGGCTGCGCTTCCATACTGGCCTGGACCTCGTGCCGCTCTTGCGGTTTGCGGGCGTAAGTGCGCACATGCATGTGCTGTGCGCGAAAAGGGCCTTCGCATCCACATGACTAGCCCCTCGGGATCATTAGGCATGTGGGAAAACGTCGAGCAGCCACCCCTCCGCCTCAAGGGCTCTGACACTACCTGGCCCGATCGGCGGGATCCGGCTGGGGACCTCCCTAGAAGCCCGAGCGACTCGGCGTGGAGGACGCTACAACGAACGGGCCTCTTGCATACAAAGCTGGGAGGGGCCCCTTAAGCAATGCCTAGTTGGACCCTGGGCGGCGGTGGCGGTCATAGAAGCCCGCCACAACAGGCCACGGGACGGCCTGAGACCTCCTCAGTCTGGCCCCCAAATGGGCCAATACTGCCCCAGCATGGCCCACCACCAGTATCATAATGCCTCAAGACGCACCGAGAGCGTCCACAGAGCCTTCGAGACGGGCTCGGGACACCACCACGGCCCCAAGAACCCTCCAGTCTCATGAGGTCCACGAGAGGGCCCAACGATGACCCTGGGAGCCCACCGAAAGGCAACCCAGATGAGCAGGAAAAGCCTCCCAAAACATTGTAGCGACCATTCTACAACTCTTCGACCAGAGGTCCCGCTTGTGATGTTGATATTACCTGGGGATGATTGCTGTATAGCTAGCGTATGAGCGTTACTCCGTACAGCCTGTTGATTGGCTGAGCTCGTTGGCTTCCTGATCACAACTCGACTGCACGTAAGAGTGACCTTTGATGCGCGGCTTTGGGGGGGCGCGGGGATGCCAAAGCCAAGTGCGCGGGCCAATACTTAGGGGGCCCTCCGAGCTCGCACCAGAACGGTCATTTAGGCCAAGGGCCATCGACAAGCCAACCTCACGCGCAGCCGAAAGAGAGCTCCTGGGCGAAAGTGCGGGAGCAAAAAACGCCAGGATTGAACGACGCAGTCCGCCAGACGTCTCGGGGATGGCAGGGGCTGGACCCGATGCCAGGGGCCTCCCAGATGGGGCCCGAAAGCCGCGCCGCCTCGCCGATGCATCGCCGACGCATCGGCGATGCGGCGCAATCCTCGGGCCCCATTTTCGGCGGTGGACAAACCTCTCTTTAGTAAAAATCCCCTTGATAAAAACGACCTTGGGCCGAAATCGAAGGACCTGGACCCGCTAAAATGACGGCCGCGACGCCCTCTCGCGAACCAAAAACGGCCAATTCCTTAATCGACGTGTCAGGGTAGGAGGTCTGTCCGCCTCCGACATCTGCTCCTGCCCCGCTGGGGAGGCCGGGGCCCGCCCGGATCCCGAAGCGTGGCGCCAGGGCCCCGGGCTCTCTGCAGCGGAGCCCGCCCCCGCCGCGCTCTGCTCAGCAGCCGGCGCCCGCGGCGGGCTCCGGTTTCAGCTTCCGAGGGCGCTCTCCGAGGGCGCTCCCCAGGGCGCTGCCAGGGACCTCCAAGGGCGCTCTCCTAGGGTGCTCCAGGGGCGCTGCTGGGTTTTTCGGAGCCAAGGGCAGCCCCATTGCTGTCATCACCGTGTGCGGGAATTCTTGACAACTTAGTCTGGACCGGCTGATTGCTGCATCAGTGACGTGCACCTCGACATAACAAGTGCCAACTTACCAACTGATATGCGTAGCGACCCGACTCAAAACCATGTCAATGCGCACCAATTGGGATTTACATCCGGAAGAACAAAGCGATGCTCAACTGATAACTCGATCACTGGTTCGGAATCTCTAGTCGCGTCGCAGTAACCAAATCATGCAACCCTCTAGCGCTCTATGAATATGGCCTCTCTGCAGAATGTTCAAAACTTCCCGAAATACTTCTGCATAGCATATCGAGCCACTTACGCACTGGGTACTGGTAGCGTGCAGCAAACTTGAAGTATGGATGTTCAACTGCTAGCGCTAACCACTTCATTGTTCGTGCGTCGAAGCTGAGTTACGCCTTATTGGATATTGTACACGTGTTGCTTCTGTACATCCCATGACCAAGGTCGATAAACTCAAGCATTGCCCATACAATGATAATCAACACGTGGACCTTGAATGACAGAAAGCAATGCTTGCGCGCTCGGAGTGCGCGGAATGTGGACTGACATCGGAGATCACAGACATACCTTTAGCGGCCCATGCCGCATTGCGAAAGCCGCTTCGATCCCAACCTACAGTAGGCTGAGAGGAGAAACCGCGATGTCATCTCACGAAGGAGTCGGCCACCTTGAATACCAACGTCACTGGTCGCCTCGCAACGTTGATATCTTTCGCCTTCCATCAGTTGCCTGACTGCAGCGAGCTACCTCTCTTGCCTTACATGCGGCGTGTGCTCTTGGGACATGCTTCTGCGTTCATTTTACTGCGCCTGTCGAACATTGCGGAAGCGAGACTCATTTGAAAACATCACAAGCTATCCTGCGTAGCGGACTGCATCTGACAACGTCTACCGTGCTGACCAGCTGTTTCGCACCTTCCCTATCACCCTTGGGAACATCAATTTTCCAAGCCGCTTGCAAAGCAACTCGATGCCTCGTACTCGCTATCATAGTCAAGGCGTCTGAGCGGGAAATCCCGTCGATGTCCTCCGCCGAGCGAAAACGCGCGCCGGCACAGTGAAGGCAACGGACGCGAACATCTTGGAACCAACGAAGACATGTAATGCAAAGGTGAGCACCAACACAGTGGCTTCGAACGAACACCTAGCCGTTCGAGAAGCGTACTTTGACCGTGGACAAGATACATATGCTATACCACCCGACAAACGATGTCTCACAAAGAGACATGCGTCAGCGCATACTGAAGAACGAGAGGATACGTCCCCTGACTGGACAATGCAGGCCAAAGGTGCCGCTGGACGCAGACCGCGCTCTCGTTTCCGAGTCGAAGGCCGACGGTGGAGCAGGCGGGCTTCCAGGGCGTCTAGGGGCGAATCGAAGAACTTCTGGGGGCTTCCAGCGAAAATAATGGGAATGATGAGGACGAGGGAGATCAGGAGGCAAGCCAGAATAAGGGGCGGCCGATTTACTGTGTTCGACCTAGGACACAATCTAATTAGACAGATCCGGGTTCTCTACTGGAGTTGGGCACTTCTCGGCCACACATATGTGTGTATGTATGTATGTATATATATATATATATATATATATATATATATATATATATACCGCAACAGGCAGTAACAGGGTCCCCGCAAGCCCCCCAGCAGAAAGAAGAGGGAAGGGTCTGCTGAAACTCATCTCAAGACCGCCCCAAACAGACACAAGGGACGAGATACTGCCGTGAAAGTCGTGCCAGAAGAGGGCTCACATGAGGAACGAAGCCACGGTCCGTCCCGACTTGGCCAGTGCCGCTCGATTTGGCGACGGAGCGTGCCGTTTCCGCATGGAAGGGAAGCGGGCGAGCGAGCGGCTGCGTTCCGCCCAGGGGGGCGGCGCCTCTGGGCCCGTGGCTCGGCGCAGCCGAGCAAACACTGGAATCAGGGAGAGGACCTCAGCTGACGAACATGCAGGGAAGGCGACTCGTCGCCAATCCTTGCGCGCTCATCCATGTCTGCGCTTCCTCGGCGGCGGAAAAGCGCAGGCCCGCCTCAAGATGCACGAGCCGCCTCCAACCAAATGTGTTCCCCGCTCCGACGCACACCGGCTGCAGCGGTTTTTGCTCCATCTTTTGGTCGCTGCAGCGCGTAAGGACTCAGGCCCCTCACCAGCAGCGGGCCTCGGCACGAGAGGGCGATGTAACCTGGCCTGCGTGCCCGCCGTGACACGGCTAGCATGAAGGGAATGGCTCCTGGAAGAAATCGGTCCTGGACTTGTTCTACCATTCTCGGCTCCCCTGCGGCCCTCCGTGCGCCTGGGTGAGGAATTGGTCCTGGGGAACGCCCTGGTGTCCAATGCTCGTGTCCTTCAGGGACCCCTGTCCATCACGGCGACAAGTGTGGGCGCACTAGGACCATCGAGCTCACAAACGAGGGAGACTGCCAGTGTGGGGAACACGATGACCATGATGAGTGGTGTTTTGCACGGATTGTCCTTCCATGGGCCACCCGTCCAGAACACACATCTACGCACGATGCGCCGCCTATATTGCTGGTTCCATCCGCGAGCCGTCCTGGCCGTTCACGCTCTTGATGACGTCCCCAATGTGTACTCGACCTGGCCGCCCACCCTCGTATCTCTCGGGGCGCAGCCGCAGCGACGCAATAACAACGACGCCCGAGGGCCTCCGAGAACCTCTAGGCCCCGCAGAGAACACTCAGAACACTTGAAAGTACACGAACCTCGGAGCCGAACGAAACAAACACGGCGTACACAGTAACAAAAACTACACTCGATGGTCCAAGGAGATTTCCAATGTCGGCGCCGTGCCCCCCTGAAGCGCGCCAGGGGCGGCGCTGGAGCCGCCGCTAGGGGGCGTCCAACGCCGACCAAAGAGATCCACGCGGACCTGTGAACTTTTGTGCTTCTGCTGTTCTTGTTTGCTCCCCGGTTCGGAAGCCGCCGAACACCGCCTGGAGCCTCCGAGGACCGACTGTGAAGAACACCTCGAAGAGGCGGCCGAAGACGTAAAAACGGTGCAGCCATCGCGCTACCATGCAGTGAGCCAAAGAAGGGACGGAGGGTGCCTTGTTGGCCGCGTCGGCCCTCGGCCGCGAAGAGACTCCCCGACCTGGATCCGGCGAGCGGCCCGAAAGTCAGAGCCCTTCCCGAGCCCAGAGCGGCCTTTGTTTTGCAGCGCCCTGACTGGATTGGGACCATCGGGCGTTTCTTCACCGGGGGGCGATACATTGTGGGGAAGAAACATGCACCTTGGGTTCCTTTTTCGGGGCCCAAGGGAACCTTGCAAAGGCACAACCCGTGCACCTTTCTTCACCTCCTCCGGCTCATCGCCCCCCCATGACGCAACGCCCGATTCAGGAGTCCCAGAAAAGTTCTGGGAGTCCCGGAGTATCTAGCGACCCTCGCTTCTGGAACCTGGGCGGAGCAATCGGACATCAGGGGAACCACCTTGACAGTCCAATCCGCTATATTTTTCCACATGGCTTCCTAACCAGTGTCTAGCAGCCCTAGCTCGCAGCATCTCTCGCTGCGGGCCCATCACCCCTCCGGTGCTGAAGGGGGCAGACGAAGGACGATAGTGCAAGAAACCGTTCGCACGTAGCCGTTTCGGCTCAAGCCGACCGATTCTGAATTCTTGCACCCGGTCGCGTGCTGTATTTTGTGTGTGTGTGTGTTGTATATCAAAAAGCATACCTATATGGCCACAGAGCGGGTGAAGAACGCGGCTTCGGTGGAGAATCTGGAAAACTTAGTGACGTCATGCCAGAGCGGGATATCGGCGATGAAGGTTTACCAATCCGACATGGACGACATAGTCGCCAACAACATGGCGTTCCTGCGCGATGTCATCCAAATCACGCATCGGATCTCTGAGCCTCAACCGAAAGAGGCGATCGTCAAGAAGCTCGGCGCGCCCAATGGTGACGCCAAAGTGTGCGCGAGACAACCCCCGACTGCTCTCCCGAACGTCCTCCACAAGTGGAGAGGGGTCAAGAACAGATCGAAGCTGCACCCTGTCTCCGTTCGCCCTCCTCCCACTCCCCATGGGGGACGAGGACGATGACCCATCACACGGAGAGCGGCAGCAAGGGCAACAGCACATGCCGCGGGCGCGGGACCGCTGTTCTCGGCGGGCCCGACTTCGGGCAGCCCGCTCGCCGACTGCATGGCCGTGAACCCCGAGACGTGCAGCGGCACTTCCTGCGACCGGGGCGGCGCCGACGCGGACGCGTACGGTCAAGCCGAAGGCGTGGCAGTGGAAGGGCCCGCCCCCTTCGAGAACAACGAATATTTTGCTTCGAGCGATCCCCACTCAAGAACGCGAAGCGGGATCCCCCGGGAGCACCGGCCCCGGGGGGCCTGGCTGCCACGGCATGCAGTCGCCATCCGTCGAAGCCGCGAGGAGCTATGTCTAAACATGTTGCATCTCTCGGGGGCACATCTCTGACCTCCGACGGATCCCGCTGACCCTTCGCCGACTTCCGCTGCCGAAGCCTCCCTCGCTCCACTCCACCGACGAAGCAAGTCAACCTCTGGATTGCCTGGAGGTCAGGCCCTCCCTGGAATGACCCAAAGTGTCACGAGTCCTTGCAGTCCTCATCCGCCCTGGACAACTCTGGCACGCGCGAACACAGCAGCACGTCCGAGATGGGGCCAGACAACGTGAGGACGACGCCACACAGCGCATGCTGTCCCGAACCGATCGCGGCCGCTGTTGGGCAGGCGACGCCTGTGTCTCATTGACGGCGTCCGCGGCGGCACTGACAGCAAGCCCTGTTCAACACAGGCACGAGCTGCTGGCGGTCTTCATGCCCTTCTCCCCCTCCTCCTCCTCCTCCTCCCCGCCTCCTCCTCCTTCTCCTCCTCCTCCTCCTCCTCCTCCTCCTCCTCCTCCTCCTCCTCCTCCTCCTCCTCCCCCTCCTCCTCCTCCTCCTCCTCCTCCTCCTCCTCCTCCTCCTCCTCCTCCCCCTCGTCCCCGTTCCGGTTTTTTCGAACACGTCCCGCCGCTCCGCGGAGCCCAGGGCGACCGCGACCGCCCTGCTCGGGAAAACACAGCGCCCCTCCCCCTCGCACCCCCCTCCCCGCGTTCACCGCTGCGCCACTCGTGAGCCCTCTTCAGCGCCCTCCCCCCAGATTGACATTCTCCGCGGCGAATTCCCCGCGGCGGAAAAAAACATCGTGGCAGGAGCGATAAGCAATAATAACAAACAAACGCGACAACACATACAACAAAAGCGTGGCAGGAGGGACGAGAGCAAGCAACGTCACGACAGAAACAGCTCATCGCGGCAGGAGCCCTCAGCCCGAGCTGTGCCCGACCCGAGGCAAAGAGGCCCCAGGCAGGCCTGAGCTGGATCGACTCGCGAATTTAGATCGGATCGGAAACGCATCGAATCGCCAACGAATCGTCCCGGTGCGAGCCCAAATAGGAGCTCCGCGTCCAGCTCCAGCTGGCCCAAGCCAGTGCCAGTGCATCGAACCAAGCCGAGTCGAATCGGAATAGCGGCCCCAGCTGGCGAATCGAATCGCATGGAATCGCATCGTGGGCGGCCCTACCAGGGCCTCCTCTCCCTCCTCGTCCTCCTTCTCCTCCTCCTCCTCCTCCTCGACATCATCGTGATCCTCCTCTTCCTTCTCCTCGTCATCTTCCTCCTCCTTCTCCTCGACATCCTCAGCGTCCTCCTGCTCCTCCTCCTCCTCCTCCTCCTCCTCATCCTCCTTCTCCTTCTCGTCACCTTCCCCCTCCTCCTCCTCCTCCTCCTCCTCCTCCTCCTCCTCCTCCTCCTCCTCTTCCCCCTCCTGGCCAGAGCCCGAACGGGCAGTCGCGGAAAGCGCCGCTCTTTTGAACAGAAGCTGGGAGCGTCGCGCATCCGAGAGCAACGAGTATGTGCAGAGCTGCATGGGCTGTCGGGGGGCCTGCCGCACCCGTTGCTGGGCTGCCTCCGCCGCGCGCGGAGAAGCTAATCCCAACCATCATGTGGTGTTGGAACCTCATTTTGAAGTGGCAGCGCCCCGCGTTCCTTCCTCCTTCCTTCCTTCCTTCCTCCTCAGCCTCCTCCCTCCTCTCTGCGTTTCCCCCGCCCAGTACAGCGCTCTGTGGGCCCATAGGGAGCTTCACCGAAGGCCCAATCGGTCCTACTGGGACCTGTTGTTGGGTCCTCGTTTGAAGAGGCAATCCCCGCGTTCCTCCTTCCTTCCTTCTTCCTCCTCTCCCTCCTCCTCCCCCCTCCGTCTCCTGGCCTCTGCCCTCCGCATGTACCTGTTTCGGCATACGCCTCACACGCTTCGTGGCCCCATAGGGAGCTTCACCAGAGGTCCACATGCCACCGTTCGCATGCGCCCAAGGCGCCCATGTACGTACACCGCTCACACGTTTCGTGGCCCCACAGGAAGCTCAACCGACGGCCCCAGTGGCTACGCTCGCATGCGCCCACCGCACCCATGTCGACACACGCACTCACACGTCTCGCGGCCCCATAGGGAGCTCCAACGACGGCCCAAGTGGTTGCTTTCGCATGCGCCCACCGCGCCTATTTCGGCACCCCCCTCACACGCTGCGTGGCGCCATAAGGAGCTCCACCGACGGACACAGAGGCTGCGCTCGCATGCGCCCACCGCACCCATTTCCCGCAAACCCATCACACGTTTCGTGGCCCCATAAGCCCCCGTGCCTGAGTTTGCATGCGCCCATCGCACCTAGTTCGGCACCCCCTTCACACGCTGCGTGGCCCCACCGACAGACACAGAGGCTGCGTGCGCATGCGCCCACCGCACCCATGTCCCGCACACCGATCACACGTTTCGCGGCCCCACAGGGAGCTCCACCGACGGTCCAAGTGGCTGCTTTCGCATGCGCCCACCGCACCTATTTCGGCACCCCCCTCACACGCTGCGTGGCCCCAGAAGGAGCTCAACCGACGGACACATTGGCTGCTTCCGCATGCGCCCACCGCACCCATGTCCTGCACACCGATCACACGTTTCGTGGCATCATAAGGAACTCCGCCGACGGCCCCCTTGGCTGCGCTTGCATGCGTTCACCGCACCTGGTACAGAACGCACACGTTGCGTGGCCCCAGAGAGAGCTTCAGCGACGGCCTAAGTGGCTGCTTCCGCATGCGCCCACCGCACCTATTTCGGCACCCCCCTCACACGCGGCGTGGCCCCATAAGGAGCTCCACCGACGGATACAGTGGCTGCGTTCGCATGCGCTCACCACACCCATTTCCCGCACACCCATCACACGTTTCGTGGCCCCATAGGGAACTCCACCGACGGCCCCCTTGGCTGCGATTGCATGCGCCCACCGCGCCCGTTTTAGGTACACCCCCCACACGTTGGGTGGCCTCATAGGGAGCTCCACCGACAGCCCCAGCGTCTGCGTTCGCGTGCGCCCAGCGCGCCCATTTTTGGCATGCCCCCTTACACGCTTCGTTGCACCAAAGGGAGCTTCAGCGACGGCCCCAATGGCTGCATTCGCATGCGCAAATCGCACCCATTTTTGTTACTTCCTTCGCACCTTCTGTGGTTCTATAGGGAGCTCCTCCGAATGCGGTGCATACAACGACAGTGCTCACAACTGCATATGGTTTGTTCGTAGGCCAGGCTAATTTGTTTGCGGCAGCGCAGCCCAAGGAGACTAGCTTGGACACCCCCAACTTGTCACTTGCAACCTCGGGGCCCCAAAACAGAACCGTGTGGTGACGGACCGCGTGGTGACCTCGTAATCCCCAGCGTCCTCACTGTTCGGTCCGTCACAACAGTCTTGGGACCTCGGAGGCCCTGGTCGCCCGAAACGTCCCCAACGAACGACTCAAGTGCCAACACCGTGCGCTGACCCCGAATCGCCACTGACTCACAACGGGGTGTCGTCACCACACTGTTCGGGGCCCCCGAGCTGCGCGGAGGACACCGACCACGAAGAGGGGAGGGCGGATAAAGAAACTAAGGAACCGAATTCTATACACCGACCCTTGTTCCGGCCCTGCACTGACATTTGCACAGGAAAGCGGATCCTGGTGTATACGGGACCCTCGGGTATACATGTTTCGTTGTTTTCCGAGGGAACGGATAGACAAACATACACCACACCACCCCGACGTCGTCTCCGACCTTCAAAAAAAGCCCTGGGATCAAAGCCCGCCGCTGGTAATGTAAACGTTCCAATTTCCGCGAGAAGCCCCCGCGCACGGAGGAGTGCCCGCACGATGGGAAACAGCTGGCTGGATTCACGCACGGAACATGCGGAGGCCACGCGCTGGAGAAAGGTGCGGAGGGACAGCGCGCACACCCGTCCATACGAGGGCCGAGCGCTGGAAAGGCGTGCGGCCACATGTGCCTCCTGGGCTGCCGCCAGGGGCCGGCCACGCCGTGTATGTTCCAACTTCCTGGCGGTAGGCAGTGGGAGGAGGATGGAGGAGGACCTCTGGGTGAGCGCCCCCTTACGTCATGCCCCCCGACTGCGCGCGATTGCCCGCTCTCCGTGTACCCTCCCCTCTGAACAAACCACGACGTTGCGTTCGTTGCCCTCCCCAGCGGCTTGGCAGCCCCGCTTTGACCGGCGTTCGGTGGTGTCTCGAGGGGGGGGGGCCTCGGGAGAAGCACCCTCGCCGCCGCCGTTTGCCTCCTCGTCCTCCTCATCCTGGGAATTTTGGGGAAACATGAAGGGGACCGGCTCAGGGGGGCAAGCATCGAGCCCGACTCGGTGATGCACCATCGCCGACGGATCGGCGAGATGCCCCCGATAACGACTCCGCTTGCTCCTGGGCGGGGTGGGCTATCGGGCTCCCCTCTGCGATTTCATGGGCGCTTGGGGGCCGATGCGGCCCCCTCTGCGCCCAGGCCCCGCCCCCCCCCCCCCTGCGCTGCCCCTGCCGGACGCGGCGCCTGGCCGACTTTTATCCCAATCTGCTTCGAGTGGAACACGATCTCGTAGGAGTCGACCGGCTGCAGGCACTCGAACGACATGGCCTCCGTCCGCCGGCTGCCCCCCGTGGCGCCGGGGGCGCGGGCTCCACGGTGACGGCCGCATGCGCGTGCCGAAGGGTGCGGGTCACTGGCAGCGCGGCTAAGTGGCTGCCGACCCAGATCTCTCGGACTATATGCCTTTTCTATACGACTTTTGTAGACCTGCCGATTTTCATCGAGTTCGGCCCTCAGGGGCAGTTTTAGGGCCCCGGGACCATCAAACACTGATCTGGGACGACGGACTTCCCCCAGGGCAGCTGTCGGGACCTGTGGGTCCGAGAATGGAAGACATCGCATCGGCAAGATACGGCAAGATGTCAGGGAATGCAGGCGGGCTGGCGGGGCGACGGCGACAAGAACGCAGTCCGCACCACGGAGCCCTCTCGCCCTGCTTTTGGCCAGCGCCGCCGGCAGAGGAGCGGAACAGGCGGCCGATCCTCGCATCCCTTTCTCGCCACGTGGGCCACAAACTGGGGCCCCGACAGCGCTGGGAGGCTCTGGGCACTTCGTATGGCAGTGCTCTCAGGCAGCCCTCCATGTGGCTGGCCCCACAAACCCCGAATCCCAAACCATCGGCGTCTCCTTTGTGGCGCGCTTTTTACCCTCTGCCGTCCGAGCCGCTGGCACCTTCCCACGGCCGCATTTCCGCCGAGAAGAGATGCCAAATGTTTGGTCCCTCGACGGCGCGATCCTTTCTGGAGCGCCCCGTGTGCGCGCGAGACTTCGATCAGGAACTTTCGCTTTAGCGTGTCACGGCGGCGGCCTTGGCGACGTGCCATGCCGCGCGAGCGGATAGGGTATCGCTCCGCTCCGCGGGGCGGGAGGCTGGGAAAAGCTTGAGACGTTGACGCCCGAGGGCCAGGACGTGATTAGCGCCGAAGCGTGGAGGCCAGAACCGGCGGCGCGGCACGTTACGCAAACGCTCCTGACCGTAAGCTTCTGCTGATCCAGGCTAGCTCAGCCACCATTGTTCAGCATGCTAGCCAACGTAGACCCCACGCAGTAAGTTATTGCACTGTGGCTGTGTAAGCTATGCGGTGCAAGCTATGTGGTGTAAGCTATGTGGCGCAGTATAGGTGGTGCAAGCCAGGAACGGCAACGACGCAGCAACGGGAGGCAACGTGTCGAAACCTCACTGGACCCACCCAGCGCATGAGGCGGCAACGAGGCAGCAACCGGCGGCAACGTGGCGGCAACCTCGCCCGACCAATCCAACGCACGAGGCGGCAACGAAACGGCACCGGGCGGCAACGTGGCGAAACCTCGCCAGGCACAGACACACAGACACACAGACACACACACACACAGACACACAGACACACAGACACACACACAGACACACACACAGACACACAGACACACACAGACACACACACAGACACACACAGACATACAGACACACACACACACAGACACACTGACACACACAGACACACAGACACACATAGACACACACACAAACAATCAAAGACACACACACAGACACACACAGACACACTAATACACGAACACGCACACACACACGCACACACACGGACACACAAACGCACACACACACACGCACCCACACACACACATACACACGCACACACACACGCACGCACACGCAAGCACACACACACACGCACCCTCACACACACACACCCTCACACACACCCTCACACCCTCACACCCACCCACCCACACACACACACACACACGCACACGCACACGCACACGCAAACACACGCACAAACACACACCGACACATCCATTCATGCGCACACGCACACGCACACGCACGCACTCCCACACCCACCCCCCCACCCACCCAGCCACCCGCCCGCCCACTCACTCAACCACCCACCCACCCACCCACCCACCGACCCCCCCCCCCAACCCACCAAGACACACACACACACATCCACACACACACACACACACGCACGCACGCACGCACGCACGCACACGCACACGCACACGCACACGCACACGCACACGCACACGCACACCCACACCCACACCCACACCCACACCCACACGCACACGCACACGCACACGCACGAGCACGCGCACACGCACACGCACACCCACACCCACACCCCTGGAACGTGGCAAATCCTTGGGACACCCACATTCGGCATTTGGCGGCAACGGGGCGGCAACAAGCCAGAACGTGGTGAATCCTCTGGACACCCATCTAATTCAGTAGAAATCCAAGTATGACCCCCTGAGTGAAAATACTCGTTGGCAAAAGCTTCGGTAGTTTGCTCTTATCAGTTTCGTATGTTTGTCCGTCTAAACTTCGGAGTTCGTCTCAAGTTCGTAATGTTCCTCTGGTTTCGTGCGTCTCTGGGGGGATTCCGAGCACCCCGCTCCGCGTACTAGCCCTGCTGGGGCAGAGACTTCGGACACTCACCAAGGCGCCCTCCCCGCACGCCGTTGCGATATCTCTCACTGGTCCCCGACATTCGCTCTGACTCTGCAAACTATGGCAAGTTCGTGCTGTCACGACGAAGGCGTTGGACTCTGACACCGCGTGGATCGTTCAACCTTCAACGATCGCGGCTTTCCGATCGCGCAAATCGCTCGATGCCGGCCGATTCTCCACTTCTTCTGCCGGCCTCCTCTGGCCCTCTGCCGGCAGAGCCGCCAGCGTCCGCGGCCCTTCCGCCGAGGCGGACGGTCCACTTCGCGATCTGGCTCCCGGAAGACGATGCGCCCTCTGCTGTGTGAGCGCCCCGGACTGTGCGTGCCCCGAGGCCGGCCGAGCCCCGCCATGGTCTCGTTGTCGATGCCGCTGTCCAGGTCCGCAACCTCCCGAGCGGGCGACGCGCCGTCCAGCGCGCGCGGGGGGCTCGCACCCACTGCCTCGTCCCCGGCCGCCTCTTCCGACGTCCGAACCGCACCCCGCACAGGGGCTGCGCTCCGCGGGCGCGCCTCTCTCCCAGACTCGAGGGTGGAGACCACCGAGGAATGGCCCCACGGCGACTCAGCATGGACACGGTGGAGACATGCTGGGAGATTCACGGGCCCAGCTTGTTGGAAGCTTCGAACTCCTGGGGGAGGAGGATGGAGGGGGCGGGAAGAGGGAGCAGGAGGGGGAGGAACGTGAGCAGCGAGTCGGGAGAGGACGGGCAGGGGGGACGATGACATGGTCATGATGCGGCGGAAGAGAACAAGGAGGCGTATGAAAACGATGGAGAGGAGGCAGCGGAAAGGGGTTTTGGGCCCCTGGCCGCCCCGATGTCATCCTGGAGCCCCGGGCGGGCCCATCGCGTCGTTGGCCCAGCCTCGCGTCCCCCCCCTCGACGAGTTTCAGCCCTTCCACCCTCCACTGCCTACGCATTATTTTCACATCATGAATGCTACGCTCTCCTCTCTCCCCTGACTCTGTCTGGAAGACGCCCCGCCCTCTCCGCGTATTGTTTTGTTTACGCACTGCATTGGTTACAAGTGTCTTGCTCGTATGGCTTGTTGCAGTCCGCTCGTTGCCGGTGTTTCAACATGGTGCTCCCGCTGCATCGCGTGCCTCATTTTGGGTCCACCCTTTGCCCCCGTCGTTCAGAAGGGCGCTCTCGCCCAAGCACGGGCCACTCTTCTGGATCCGACCCCTTCCTCGTCGTTGTCGTCCCCCTCCTTTCCCCTCCTCTGCCTTCCTGTTGTCCTCCTGCTCCTCCCGCTCCTTCCATTCCAGTTCTCGCTGCCGCTGCTCGTTCTCGCCCTCCTCGTCTTTCCCCCTCCTCCTCCTCCTCCTCCTCCTCCTCCTCCTCCTCCTCCTCCTTTTCCTCCTGCTCAGCTCCCCATTTCCTATTGCGCATGACGCGGTGAGGTCTTTTTGGGAGTTGAAGGTCCGCTGTGACACGCGTTCGCGGATAGAGAAGATATCAGCGCAATGGGAAGGGATGGGTGGAAGGGGTGTTGGGTCAGATATTGCGCGAGCGCGCCTAGCTTGCAATGCCCCCCTGTAAGATCCTCCTCCTCGCTTCCTCCTCCTCCTCCTCCTCCTCCTCTCCTCCCTCCTCCTCCTCCTCCTCCTCCTTCTTCCTCTTTATGTTCACTCCCTCCGCCTCTTCCTCCTCCTCCTCCTCCTCCTCCTCTTCCTCCTCCTCCTATGCAACAACCTTCGTTGCCCCTCCTCCTCCTCCTCCTCCTCCTCCTCCTCCTCCTCCGTATCCTCCTCGTTCCTTTTCATCCGCCTCCTGATCCTCGCTGGCGCTCTGCGCCGCTCGTCCCGTTCCTGCCCCCCCGTTCTGCAGCCGCGGTCATCTTGACGTACCCGTTTTTCTGGATGCTGAGCAGCTTGTCCTCTCTGGGTCAGTGGCGGCGAGGCGCGACAGAGGGGCCGAACGGCGAGGAGCCCGCAGCCGAAGATTCAATTTGTTCCCGCATTCTAAGGCTGGGTCTTTGTTATTAGTATCATGCCTCCACCTCCCTCCTTTCGCCTCCTACATTCCCGTCTCCTTCCTCTTCCCTCTCCTCGACCTTTTCCCTTCCAGACTCAAGCTCGCTCACGCTCAAGCCCACGGACACTCACTGCCACTCACACTCAGACTCACTCATGCCCTGACCCAGACACTCTGACAAGCTCACTCATACCTCGACTCACTCACACTCAGACTCGTTCACACGCAGACTCACTCGTACTCATACGGGCATACTCAAACAACACACGTCCTCATATGTATTGATAATCAATCCCGCTCATACTCTGACACACGCACACTACGATCACGCATGCTCATATCCGCTCATACTCAGCTTAGTCATACCTGGATTCATAAAAACAGACCGCTCACACTATGACCAGTCACGCTCAGATTCACTCATTCTCAGGTTACGTTCGAACAAGCCCACGCGGTGTCACGTATATTAAGACCCTATCATACTCGCTCCTCACACTCAGACTCCTTCATTGTCATCGCGATATAGAAAGGGGATCCATTTTGGGCACCCCGGGGAGGAGCTGCCAGGAAGGGGGACACTTGCCCGTTCGCGGCGAGATTGTCGAACCGGCGAGACGCTGGTCTTAGACCGGCGACTCTTCTATCGAAAGATTCAAGATCACCGCGATTAGTAGGCAAAATGTTTGGGCATCCCAAGGGGGGCCGCAAGGGAGGCGAACACTTACCGGCTCGCTCCCTCAGTAAGGGGATGCCTCGAGCCAGGCGCTCGATTTGCAACGGCGACTCCTCCCTGTCAAAACCCTCATGGTCACCGCGAGACAGCAGGCAAAGCAGCCGCCAGGGAGGGGGACACTGGCCTATTCGAGGCCAAGATTGTGAGGATGCCTCGAACGAGGCGCTCGTTTTGTGCTGGCGACTCCTGCTTTTTGGAAGCCTCATGATCCATGATCATCGCGATATAATAAATAAAACACTTGGGCATCACAAGGGGGGGCCACTAAGAAAGGGGGACGCTTGCCCTGTTCGCGGCCCCAGTGTGGGGATGCCTCGAGCGAGGCGCTCGTTTTGCACCAGCGACTCCTCGTCTGTTGAAAGCTTCATGACAACCTCGCGTTCGCAGGCAAAGCCTTCGAGCAGCCCAAGCAGCCGCCAGAGAGGGCAGCACTTTCTCACTCGCGGCCAAGATTGTGGGGATGTCGCGAACGAGGCGCTCGTTTTACGCCGGCGACTCCTGCCTCTTGAAAGCTCAATGATCACTGTGAAAAGCAGGCAAAGCTCTTGGACATCCCAAGGGGGAGCCGCCAGGGAGGGGGACACTGCCCTGTTCGCGGCCCCAGTGTGGGGACGCCTCGAGCGAGGCGCTCGTTTTGCACCTGCGACTCCTCGTCTGTTGAGAGCTTCATTGTCACCACCGCCGCGATGCAGCCGGCGTGGCATTGGGCACCCCAAGGGGGAGCCGGCAAGGGGTGTTAACTACACTGGCCCGTTCGCGGCCAAATTGGGGGTGTCGCGAATCATGCGGTCGGTCTGCACCTCCGGCTCGTTTCCATTTGCAGCCCCATGGTCACCACGATGTAGGCGTGGCGCTTGAGCACCCCAAGGAGGAGCCGCCAGGGAGGGGGTGCACTTGCTTGTTCGCGGTCAGATTGTGGGGATGTCTCGAACGAGGCGCTCGTCAGGTGTCGCAAACCCCTCTGTTTTGAGAGCTTCGTGATCAACGCGATGCGATCACTTGGGCACCCCAAGGAGGAGCCGCCAAGTGGTGTTACATGTGTGCGTTCGCGGCCAGACCGTCGGGATGTTTCAAGAAAAGTGTTGGTTTTGGCACCCCCTGTCTCCTTTCATTCACAGTCTCAAAATCACGCCGACGTAGCAAGCACTGCATTTGGGCATATCAAGAGAGAGCCGGCAGGGAGCGGTCAGTCGCCACATGCTGAGATTCTGCCATACACTCGCTCACACATGGAAGCACCAAGAAATGAGATGCACGTTTGGGGATTCCGCGTCGTATAACTTTGATCGGTCCGGACAGACGCCCAGCGGTCGCCGCACACCATGACGATGCAAGGTGCTGCAGGCCCGTGTCGTGACGACTTCGGCATTGGTTTCTGACATCGAGTGGATCTTTCAATCTTGAGCGATTGCGGCCTCCTGATAACGCAGATCGTTTGACACTGGCTAGTTCTGGGCCGCTGGCGGCGGTCAACCTTACACGTCTGCGCCGGGATCGCCGGCCGCGGCGTCGACACGACACGAACCTACATTGGGAAGGGCCAAACGTACCCACCGGACGAAGGGCCCGCCATGAGGTGTCGCAGCGGCCACGGTTCTCGCCATGGTGCTCGCCCAACGGTGGGCCCTGAGCCCCCCTTTCCAGCGTACGTCTGCTCTGGGGTACGCCTGGCCTCCCCCCTGACTACAAGACGCATGCGATGCCCCGGGGGGGGGGGGGGGGGGGCGAATGCTGAATTGTGCCCCGCGGCGGCGGGTGGAGACCGCTCCTGCCCAGACAGTCTCAGGGCGAACATGTGGGCCGAGGCCCTCGCCATCTCCTGGCGCCGCCGGGGGGGGTTGAGGGGCCAGGAGGATCGTGGATGGATTGAGGATGGATCGGGGATCGGCATTTTCTGTATATGTACGCCACACGTGTGTATGTATGCATGGCTCCGAAAACTGATGATCACAATCCCGCGTGGCGTGCACGAGAGCAGCCAGCTGTGGTACCAATCACCATCTGCCTTAGTCAAGCGTCGAGCTCGTAAACGTTCTGAACAATACGCTCCTACCACTGGTTTCAGAGATTCAGCCAGCTCTACGTTCTTGTCGCATGAGCCACCCAGTGACGCAACGACCCACGACCAGCGTCCATCATACAACACCAAAAGAATACGGCACCGAGCACGACGCAAACATCCCGACTACACTGATCTCCCAGACCGAGAATGCATCAGAGACGCGTGCAATGGCGCGTCCGGGGTGCTGATTTGAGGTGACGCCTTGCTCGGCATCAGCGGGACCAGCGTGAAGACCGCAGCGTCCTTCCCTATACCACCCACCAGGCCTCGCTCCACAAGGGATGAGAAGGGAGAGGGATGGAGGCGGAGGGGTGAGGGGGAGGACGAGAGGCGGAGAGGCCTCCCTTCTCCTCCCCTGCCCCCTCCCGTCCCTCCCCCCCCATCCCTCCTGTTCTCGTCCTCCCTGCCTCTCTCCTCGCCCTCGCCACCGCCATCGACCTCGTCCTACTCGTCCTCCCGCTCCTACCCGGAACCGCCCTTTCTGCTTCTCCTCTCGGGGGTAGGGCTCAGAGCTCGTCGAACTCGTGGCGATTTCCTAACCCCACCCCCGCCGCCCGTCGATTCAGGAGACTTCGCCAGGGGATCGCCTGTGGGTGCGTCGTGGGCGCCCCGCGCCGGGGGAGCGCGGAGGAGGAGGAGGAGGAGGAGGAGGAGGAGGAGGAGGAAGAGGAGGAGGAGCAGGAGCAGGAGCAGGAGCAGGAGCAGGAGGAGGAGCAGGAGGAGGCGAGCCCCGTGGGGCAGGGCTCGGATGTCGCCGCCCATCTGAGTGCCAGGGAAAGGGCCCCCGGAGACCGAAGCGAACGGAATGCGCTGCGGCTGAGAGGCGGGAGCGCCCAGAAGAGGCCGAACACCTCCAAGGAGCGTCCTGACAGCATCGTCGTAGGGTACAGTCGGGGCGTTGACATAAGGAACCCTAAATAAGGAACGGGGCCCCTTTTTTCCATAAGTCAAACTTCGATTTCCTATCGGCAACATAAGGAAAACCTGAGGCAAGCTGTGAAACACTTAAGGAACGCGGAGCCCCTCCCCAACGAACAGGGTTCCTTCTTCAGGGCCCCGACTGTACGGGACATATCCGAAACCTGACACCCTGGCGTGCCGCCTGTTGGCCCACGAAGCCTGCATAACGTAGACGACGCGGCGAGGTCTCAATCAGGCAGAAATCGAGGATCGAGGATCGCAGCTTGCGGACGCGCCTGGCCATGCGACGACGCGGCCGCGACCCATTCAGGGAGGAGCCGAGGATCGAGGATTCAAGCTTTTGAGAACCCTCTGATTCATCCTCTGTTTCCCTCTCCTCCTCCACCTCCTCCTTCAGCGACGGTGATCTCTTCCTCCTCCGTCTCCTCCTGCAGCAGCTGCGTTTGCCACGTGCGCGTAACCGAACCTGGTGCCAAACGTTTGCTGTACAATATATGCGCGTGCTTGGTGTGGCGTGCTTAGTGTCGGTTGCGCATACAGCACCTTCCATTCCTGCTCCTCCTGATGCTTCTCCTCCCCATGCAACTTCATCTTCCCGTCCCCCTGACACTTCCCCCATCCTTCCGCTGGTCTCGCCTCGTAGCACATTCTCTGCGGATCCTTGAATTCGCATCCCAAAGTTTCAAAATCAGTGCGGCCGTCAATCCCACCAGCCCTCTGGGCTGAGGTGGTTTAGAGAGCTTCCTCTTCCATGTTCCTCTGTCTTCCCCTTCGGGGAGGGATTCACCACAATTCCTTATTCATATACACCCTCTCCCTCTCCACCTGACAGGCCTGACCGGGGGCATACCTGGAACCATGACCCCCCCCATTCTTGTCAAAAGCAATACAATGATACCGGAGAAAAAACCCAATCAGGGCTGTAAGGCTAGGAGGCTATAGGGCTATAGGGCTATTGAGCTATAGGGCTATAGAGCTACAGGGCTATAGAGTTGTAGGGCTATAGGGCTATAGGGCTTAGGGCTATAGGGCTATAGGGCACCCCCGGGCACGCCCGGGCACCCGGGCACCCCCGGGCACCCCCCGGGCACCCAGGCCCCGGGCACCCCCGGGCACCCCGGCACCGGGGCGTGCGGCGAAAATCGGCGGCAAACCTAACCTAACCATATGAATCCGCTAGGACACCTACAGAGGCAAGCTCTGATTGGGGAACATATTATGCAAAGAACAATTTGCGGCAAAATCTGACTTATGCACGGGCACCAAGCGATCACTTAACATTTTTGCTGACAAGGGAGACGAGGGGGGAGGAGGGGGGCGGCATATTACCTGCCGCGCGCAAACCCACCATCCCGGTCAAAACCACGATACGACATACAAGTTGTGGCAAACTCTTTGTCATTCACTGGCGACCCGCGATCACTTTACATTGTTATCTGATAGGAATGATGGGCGTGCCCGGGTACGCGCGGCGCACCTCGCGGGCATCGCGCAGCGGGCTGGCGTCTGCATTGGTTCTCGAAGATTGTCGACTGTCGACGGCTGTCCCTGCCCGTTCTGAGACTTGGATGCTGTCTGTGTGGTGGGAGGGCGAGTGGGAGTGAGCGAGACGGCCGTCCTTCGGGGGGGGGGCTCGATAACCTTCAATATTCAAGAAACACCCCCTCCCCCACCCGACCGGCAGCAAACCCAGACCCATACGATACCCATACGCCCCCCCCCATCATCACTGTCAAGACACAATGCAACATACACTTTGCCTCCAATGCAGGAAAGCGCCGCCCACTATCCCTTGCAACAAAAACAACGCAGATGCACTTTGTAACAAAATGTGGATCATGCGCGGACGCATCGCGATCACTTCCCATTGGTTTTTGAAAGGGGCGGCGAGGGGGACAGCATATTGCCTGCTGTGTGCAAGGCCAACACGTCCAAACCATCCCTTGCAACAAGCAATACAGCATACACTTTGCACCAACACCTGGATCATGCGTGGACGCCTGGCACTCACGCCGCGTTGGCTTTTGACAGGGATGGCGGAGATGCCGGCGTACTGGGGGGCGGCACACTGCTCGCTGTGCGCAGGCCCACCAAACAAATGCAAAGGGATCGTGGGTGCAGACCCGTACGCAGCAACCCCGCCGTCACTTTGCATGGGTGTTGACAGGAACGGCAGGGACGGTGGGAGGGTCAACCTATTGCCCAATGCGGAGCACCTGGTGCGCGTGGCGCAGCTGGCACGTGCGGCGCACCTCGCGGGCTTCGCGCATCTGGCCGGCGTCTGTACTGGTTCCCGATGGTTGTCGATGGCGGCTTCTATCCATGCTGAGACTCGGGTGCTGCTTCTGTGTTGGGAGGGCAGGTGGGAATGAGCGAGACGGCCTGTTATTTGTGGGTAGCTTGACCCCTCCCCCATGCTCCCTCCCCCTGGATCTGGAGGGTGGGGGCGCCGCGGATTAGAGCGTCCAAGATGGCCCCATCAGGAAACAACAGATCCTGGACAGGCATATATGGTTGTTGGCAATGTTTGGTCTTCTGGAGGGGCAAGGCTCATCCGCGCCGCCCACCTTTTTACTCGCTAGCTTCCAATATGGCCCCAAGACGGCCCGAAAAGTTCCCAAGAGAGCCAGACCGAAGAGGCCCCGAGAGGCCCCCAAGATGCCTCCAAGAGTCCTCCAAGAGGCCTCCAAGAGGCCCCTAGGGCTCCCCAAGAGGCACCCAAGACGCTTCAAGAAGCCCTACAAGAGCTGGCATCATGCCCCCAAGACAACCCAGTAGGCCTCGAAGAGGCCCCCAAGAGACACCCCAAGAAATCAAAGGAGGCATCCAAGGGGTTGTTGGTCTACTGAGGTTCCCCGAAGTATCCCAATGATGCCACGCTCCCCCGATAAGGGCAGCTCTCCTGGCATCGCTCCTGCATGGGCTGGTGAGAATACGCGAAGCGTTAAGACTATTTGAGTGCAAGCTGCATTGAAGCGCAAACTTTAGTGTTGAACTTACGCTTCAATCTTGAAGTACAATGTCAGCTAGCTCATTTGTTCAGTACAATAACCCATGACAGAGCTTTTTCATTCTACTCTTCAATATTTGTGGCCCGGACTACAGGTCCCCCCAGGAGTACAGGGACCCTCCCCTGGACTACAGGTACGCCCCCTGGACTATTGGCACCACCCCTGGACTATTGGTACCCCCCGCCCAGGTACCCTCCCCCGACTACAAGCAATCCCCGCCGGACCAAGGTACCCCCGAGGCTGCTCTCCGTCCAAACTGCAGCGATCCGCCAGGAATGCCTCTGCCGCCCTTAAGGACGCATGCGTGTACGCGTGGCAGGCGCCCCCTCCCCTGGACTACAGGCCCCCCCTCGGACTACAGATACCCCCCAGCCCCGGACCATAGGTACCCCTCGCCCACAACAATACAGGCCCCCCCCCAAAAAATGGGACTCAAAAGTGTGGGAGTTTCAATCTCAAGTATACGTCTGCTCGGCCGCGGAGTTCGATGCAGGAGTTTGAGCAGAACGCCGAGATCATCGAGCTCAACTCTCAACCTTTGAGTTCACCAGCCTGCGGTCTAGTAATAACGGAACAACGGAGCTGTGGACGAGGAGGGGGCGTCTACGACCTCGCGCTTTGTCAGCGGGGGCACCGAGCTGGAATGCGTCTCAAACCCAATATATCCTTCCTGCTGCGCTGATGCGTTGATGCGGTTTGCCGCGGGCAGCTGGATAATAAGATGATGATGGTTACGATTCATAATACCAGAAAAGCAATTGCTACAGAGGCGCCATAGACGATGCACCTCAGCGGATGTGCTCGGTGTACGAATAGCAGAACGGCTGCTCGTGCGCAGCGCACATCGCATACAAACCGCTCTGAAGCACCAGGTCGTCCAGCCCGTAGGCTTCCGGGCACACGGGACGCAGCTCTGCCTTGAATGGCTCCACCCAAGTGCAATAGTTGGACTGGCCCCATTTTTGTTTGCCCATAGGGCACGGCAGGTCGTAGAAAAGGGGGTCCCTGGCGCGCATGTCAGTGTGAATGCCGTCGCACTGGAGCCCGCGGTAGCGGTTGGAGATCTGCCACCGCTTCGTGGTGGGGATCTCGATACCCTGATCGAAGAGCTCCTTTTCGGTCTTGAACTCGTTGGACCCGATGTGACCCCTCTTTTTCCGCTGTTTCATGTAATTGTAAGCGATGGGCTGGTTGTTGCGCGGATCGCGTCCAGCGTCGTAGGTCGTTGTGGCGGCCATAAGGGCATCGTCCTGGAAGGTCGGCGAGTCCCAGATCATCTTGACCTTCAGCTCGTGCAGCTTGTTGACGCTCTGGAGCAGGGTGGACATCCTGTGCCTTGCTGGGATAAAATTCGAGCCAATCCAGACGACGACGAGGTCCCCATCTGCAGGGCTCACACCGACCAGATCCATCTCCATCTTGATCTCCCTCACGGGAAGCTGTTGGCTGGCCCAGCCGTCCCAATTGATGAAAGACCCAATGCCCTCCTCGGTGCAACCGCGGGGCAGCCTGTCCGGGGCCTGGTCGGCCCTGGAGCGGAAGCGGGATTTACTCTTCGCGGACGTCTTGGAGGCCTCGTTCCTCCGCACAGTGCCCATCATGTCGTCGACGTCCTTCGCGGTGTGGTTGGCCCACCAGATCTCGGGGCACTTGTTGAGGCGGTGGAATGCGTTGCGGAGGGCCATCATCTGAGAATCGCCAACAAAGATGTGCTTCGTCTTGCCGTGGAAGCGCTCTTTCATGCAGTCCGACTTCAGTATGGCTGCATCGGGCCCCGTCATCTGCAGGGCGTCCTCGGCGTAACCCGCCCCCTGCAGCTGCGCGAAGTAGGTCGGCGCGTCCCAGTTGGCCGCCTGGGACAGGGATGGACGGTAAGGGGACAAACAAATGGAACCCCTTCGTCTTCGGCCCCGCATTCACCCCCCCCCTCCCCCCAATTTCTCACGCCTGTGCTGCCAAATGCTTGAGGCCAACTTTGAAATTGCGGGGAGGGGGAGGCGTGGTGTCAAGGGTTCCACTTTTTTGTCCATATACGGGAGGAGCCTCTCCCCCGTCCTCGGTGCTCCTCCTCCGCTGCGGCAGATTCGTGCCGTGACGACTTCAACCCTGATTTCTGACACCGCGCAGATCGTTCAACCTTCCACGACTGGCGGCTTCTCCATCGCCAGATCTTTCCATCTTGGCCGATTCTGGGCAACTGGCGGCCTTCAGCCTCGAACGCCCGCGGCGGGGTCGCGGCCTCCTCGGCACAACACGAAACTACTGTACCTCTCCCGCCCTCCTGCAGTGATTCTCGTCGAACTTTTTCATAAGGCGGCTCGGATGACCACGCGTGGTTCGAAGAGCAATGCAGATGATACGACGTATTGTGGCCGACGAGCAATGTGCCGGCGGTGGCGAAATCTGCCCAGGGCGAGCGTAACAGGGGGGAATCACTGCGTGTCCAATCTGGCAGCCTGCGTGAAACACACCATCTGGCGGCAGACCGTCAAACATGATGGAAATCTGCTGAAACTGATTCGCTGCAATTCTCCGCGGGAGAAAAAAGCTCGGGACGCTGATACCGGGGGCGGGACGTAGCTAGCGTGTCGCGCCGAAGCGTGGTGGATCCCGACCAGCGCCACGTGGTTCGTTGCCGTATTGAGGCGGTAGCTGCACGTCCACGCGATGGAACAATTCCCGCCGCGTCGAACATCATATTTTAAAGGGCGACGAATTTTATGCATATCCGCTGCTCCCTGGCCAAGCCCATCCTGAACCCAACAGCGGTCAATACGCCACGACCTCCTGGCTGGGCCAAAAAAGCATATACGCAGCTCTTCGGCCGACGAAAGGCCTGGCCAGGGGGCAGTGTATATGTGTAGATTTCGTCGCCCCATTTCAGTGGACGCGTAATCCACGAATCAATTCCACAGCGTCACCTGGCGCTGACGCGACAAGGGCTTGGGCGCGAACCTGCGCGGCGTGCGTTGCCCAGAGGAGCAGTCGGCACTCGGCCCGGAAGGCCCCACCAGTTCAAATTCGTGCACGAAGTACTTTTTTTGTCAGCGGCCGCAGGCGGGCGCGCCAGCGGCGAGTCCAGTCAGAGCGGGGCGCGCAAAGACGAATTCAACCTAAAGGGGGGGGCTGGGGCCTCACGCAGCACCTCGGCGGCGGGCCGGCGAGTGGAGAAGGCTGGCGGTAGGCTGGATACCAAAAGAAGTGCACGAAATACGCGATTCACAAAAAACTGTTCTGCCATCGGGGGCGCCTGTCCCACGGCGGCTCGAAAATGGATAATTTCCCGGACGTGCTATCGGAGGGGGTGTAAGCTTTCGGGCCGCCCTGGACGGGCGTCCCCGATGGTGAAAGAAATCTAGTATACTAACCTTTGTTTGCCACAGTATGTTGGGTGCGGCGGGTTCGTGTCGGGACGACTTGTGCGCTGGCCTCTGATACAATGTGGATCGTCCAACTTTAGCGGCCGCGGCTTTCCAATAGCACGGATTGTTAGATATCGGCTGCTGCTGGGCATCTGGCAGCGTTCAGCCTTCAACGCCCGCGCTCGTGTCAACGCCGCGTCGACACGGCGCGATTGGTGGCCCACCTGGTCCCGCCTTTTGCTGCCTCTGTGCGTTGGGCTTCGCGGCCGCCCGTAACTTGCGGGCATCAGTTTTTCCTGCCTGTTGGGTCTCGTGGCGGCCGAGGGTGTGGGAACAATGCTGCGCAACATGATGTGCAATCTCGTCATGTTTCTGTACGCGGCGTGCTACATATTCAAAGGCCCTAAACGGCAATGGAGGCGTGCGTGCATGCAGGCATGGAGGCAACATCAGGGCATAAACGAAAGCACGAGGCCAAGAGGAATAATATCAACCAGCGTTGACTCCGAATATATTAGAGGGCTCAAATCAAGGATTCCGAGGAATCAAGCATGCTTGGAGTACGCAACTCAGCAAGCAAGCACGCAAGCAAGCAAGCAAGCAAGCAAGCAGGCACAGGCATAGGCGTAGGCATAAAACTTAGTGGGAAGGCATAGGCATAGCTATAGCCATAGGAATTAGGGGGGGGGATAGGAATTAGGGGTGCGAAAAAGGGGCCAATCAGTATGGTGTGAGCTCGGACTCCTATAGCCTATAGGGCAAGCCTATCTGGGAAATAACAAGGGGATTGCAATGCTAGTCTCCACGCGCGCCCTAAACTCTTGTTGGTCTTGTAGCCCTTTACCTACTGCCCCACTCACAGGATTGATATCGATGTATGCATGTGGAACATGATGACGATGTCCGCTATGCTGAATAGCGCGGTTCGCGAGCCACCACGGACACAGACAACTGCCCCCCGCATGGTACGAATATGAAACATGGGTATACCGAAAGTAAGTGCAGATCTTTGCGCGCCGCTTCAGTGGAGTTCGCAAGCTGGACATGGGCCCAGGCAATGAGCACAACACTGCACGCCCCGCTGCCCCGAGCAAAGCCGTACCGCGTCTTGCGTTGGCTGCGAGGCGTCTTCGGGTCGAGTCGGTGCTTGTCTAGAACTGCCGGATCTTGTGTGAAACACAGCCGGCCAGTGCGCATCAGCATCTGTACGTGGAGGATTACCGTTGCGCTCTGTCATGGCGCCGGCGCGCGTGCCTGCGTGGCTGACCCTTCGGACGGCCCCGTTCTGAGCGTCGGGGCAAAAACGTGAGATCAGCATCTCGATCGCCGCCCTGCGGCCGGCTGTATATCCAGCGCTCTCGCTATGCAGGTGGTCGCACGACGATTTGGCATTGCAGATGCTCAACGGTTGCAGTTGCTTGTTTGGGTCTGCTGTCCGGCCACCTACCAGTAGATCTTTGTGACGCGTGCGCCCAGCTGACGATGACGAACGAAGATTCTGTGCATTCTTTCAACGAATCGTTCGCCCAACCGACTTCTGTTAAGGCTTCCGAGATTGATTGCGTCTCTCCGCAAGAGAGCTGGCCGCGATTCGCGGCAGACGGCGGGGCTGGAATGACACCAGAGCAACGGGAACTGCTTTGTACTCCCACAACAATGGGGTCGCAACGCCGACCAAAAAGGCCCTCTGCTCGTGTCGCCGGCGGCGATGGCCCAAGAAACGTCCTGGATAGTCACCCAAAGTAGCACATGCAACGGTATGCGTGGAGTCAGAATACAAAGCTTGGGACCCCTTTTTCAAGATGGCCACGCAATCGCTCGCATTGCGCAGATTTTGCACAACATTCACATGGATCCTTGCCGTACCTCGAGAAGCGAGTCCGGATGCATCTGGTCGCCTCTCTCTCTCTCTCTCTTTCTCTCCCTTTTTTTTTTTTTCTCTCTCTCTCTCTCTCTCTCTCTTTCCGAAGCTAGCTCACACCTTCCAATCCAGCCCGTAATTGGATCAGCTCGCGGTCAGTAGTCTGGTCTTTCTTGCTCTACTTGCGCCCCTTGTGGATGGTGCTCGGAGGAAGGCGCTCTATGACGAACTCCGCCTGGTGAGTGTGGAATCCGTAGTCCCTGTGTTGTGCAGTGCGTGCAGCAGAATCACCCTCGCTGTGCTAGATAGACTTCCATGTGCCAAATCGAAGCCTTGGTTGTGAACGTGGAATCTTCTCGTCGTGGACGTGGTTGCTGTGGGCAGCAACGTCATCAACTTTGATTCGCAAATGCCCATGTGGGCTTTTGGGCGTCATCAGACAGAAAGCGCGCGGATCGCAGCGTGACCTACGGCGCCCAAGATCTTCCACTGCACGCGCCAATGTCTTGCGCCAGGCGGCCGGCGCATGAACAACTCAATAGGCGGCAGTGCTGAGCTGGATCAAAGACCCGACCTCGGCCCAGGCGCCACCGTCGAGGGGAATCCCGCCAGGAGGAAAAACAGAATACAACTTACAACGGGGTCTGTCGCCGTGGTCCTTATCGCTCTGCATGGAAGCCGTTTTCAAATCACCATAAGGTTACCTCATGCTGTGCAGAAGCGGCGGCAAGTCAGAATGCGCATTTGTTCAATGTCAGCGATGTCGGTCATGCTTTTGCTAGTTCCACGATGTCGGGGCCATTGTGTCCCAACGCGCACTAGCAGTATTTTGCAAGTAGAGATGAACCTAAGCCTTCGCTGGGCTTGTCTAAGTACACGTACCGAGATGGGGGAATGCGGCCCGGGGTGTGCTGATAGATATCCCGAGCAGCCAGTGAAGATATCATAAAAATCCTGCTGACGGCAAGCAACGCAATCGCCGGCTGGACACGCCGCGACCGAGAATCTGGCATTCTATGTCGTGGCATCTCGCTTCGGCGCTGCATTGTCGTCGCCGTCGACCCTCTCGACTTTCCCTCCTCAAGCAATACATTGCGCAATCGATTGTCTGGAGTATCACCGAACAACTCCGCAACCTCCGCCTCGCAATACAATGCTTGTGCACCCGTGCTCTCCCATGCTGCCTCCACCACTGACCTCATTCACCGTCCATCGTAGTCGTTGCCGCGTTCGTAGTCCCCGTCGCGCGCGTCAACATGATGATGACATGGTGTAGGTCTTGTCATGGAAAGAGAAGGCGGCGTAATCGCAGTCGCCTGGCCCGCCAGCAAGTCAGAAGAGAAGACAACCAGTTCCCAACCTCCGCCTTCCCGCAGTAGCCAACGCATGCTGCTCGAAGGACGGCCACCCAGACGGTCTACTGCCCCAGGAGTAAGTCGATCGAGTCGCGGTCGCTAAGATGGCGACTCGCCCTCCAGAGGCGGAGGGTCGTGAGCAACAGCTGGAGCCGTCCCGGCGGTTGGCGTGGGCTGCCCGTCGGCAGATGCTGGGCGCCGCCCTTCGGATTCTGGCTCTGGCAGGGTAGGCGCACTAGGCGCCCGTGGGCGAACGGCGCCATCATGCTGGAGAG